TGTGTGTGTGTGTGTGTGTGTGTGTGTGTGTGTGTGTGTGTGTGTGTGTGTGTGTGTGTGTGTGTGTGTGTGTGTGTGTGTGTGTGTGGGTATGAAGCTTGCTGCCCTAACTTGAAAAGACCTCTGATTCACGGGTGACTAAGTACTGGAGCAACTCCAGCAAGGCTACTATACTCACGCCATACAGGCTCGCACATGTTGAGGGTTGTGTGTGTGTGTGTGTTTGGCAGTAGGTGAATGTGCTAGTGTGGTTAATGTGATTATGCTGTGTGCAAAGTCGATAGGTACTGCATCAAGTAGGAAGAAATGCAGGTATCAGCTTGTGCACACATGTGGATTTGCAGGAACTGGACAAGTGTGTGGTTACTTTATTGCACTTAATTGCTGTATATGGATAGAAATGTGTGTGTATGTGGGTGTGTGGACATCGCAAACATACTGTATGTGTGTGTTTTGCAGGTGGAACACTTAGATGTGGAGCCTTTGAACCTGATGTTTCTAAGACGAGAGCTCTTTAGACAGTTTTTAGAAAGGTGCCGTTTACTCAGTGACCTAATGATCTCATTGGTTTTCCACCATCTGACCTCATGTTTTGATTGGACCATTATTGTAGCATCTATATTTCATGTCAGAACTGTTCGGATGCTTGCTCATATTCTGGATCTGGTCACCTAATATAATAAAAATGCTAAATGCCTTATTAACGTCTTCAGCAAATTTGGCTTTTTGCTATTTCATCTTTTCACTGCACCATTAGCAACATGCTAACAGCACAGTGCTGTGTTGGTGTTGAGGCCAGACACTAACCTCTCTCTCTACCTATGCCTGTCAAACCAGCCCTGCTTCATTTCCTTTCTCACCTGTCTTTGTTTTTTTCCTTCTATTTTCTCTTGTCATGACTAGAGGCCATTTACTCGATCTCCTGCCACCCTCCCGTGCCCATCTGCGTCTTCATTTCTGCTGCTCTCCGCCTCTGAGCAAAGTCTGTTGCTTCACCCCTCTGTCTCTCTTCTCTGTGCTGGTTAATGTCAAAGGAAGATACTCCCACTGGTTAACCTTTACAGACAAAAGATAAGCATCGCTTTCTAGCCCGCTCTATCTCTCACTCTATCTCTTGCAACTTGGCCTGTTTTCTTTCACTTTGTGTCAGACTTAATCTGTCATCGTTTCAATTTAAATATGTTGATTAAATGTGCGGTTTACTCCTTTTTGTTATTTTGTCTTGCCTCCTTCCTGTCTTTAATCATCTCTTTCTCACATCTGCCCCCTCTTCCCCCTCACATGTAATATCGGTACAAAATCAAATGATTATATGAAAGGTTGTGACATTTTTTGTATATGTCATGAAAGACAGTCTATTCTTGCAACTATTCAGCCTGCAAGTCAAGCAGGCTTGTGTGGTTTTTTTAAGGTGGCACTACTAAAAAAAAAACTAAATTGTTGCTGATCTACCTACATATACACACACACACACACACACAGAGCTGTTCCACCTTTACACTGGAGCCAGCTGTGGCTCCTGAGGGGAGTTCGCCCTTTGACCTTGAGTTCAAAGGTTTGGGGGCCTTAGCCACCAGCCTCTGCAAGATCAGGCTGAGCCAGCTGTTTTTTGCTGCATATTCACACAGCTGTGACAAACACACACACACATATACAAGCTGCTCTAGGCAATGTATACTACGTTGGTTCAGCGTGGACGTGCTCAGCAGGGAAACATATGGAAGCTGAAATGTGTGGGCGTGTTATGTGTTGCAGCCCTGCAGGTAGAATATCAGAGTGTGAGGAAGAACGATTGCAAAGGTGGAGAAAGAAAGTGAGATTTATTGGACTGTAAGTTTTTTGCACACGTTGATCAAGAAGACAGTGGAAAAATGCATATCCATACACATGTGTGGTCCTTACTGAAGGAAAGAGGATGCAGTGGTTTTTGTCTGGAAGTCAAAGGTCAAATGTTAAGGAGAAAAAAGGGTGGGGGCGAGAGCAGGCAAGGTAAGATATGAGTAAGAGGACTAGTGAGGCGCTGACATTTAGCTCGCAACCATCGTCGACAGCCATTTGTTAAAAGAGGGGGTATTTAGTCCGTTTTGTGGATCTGAGTATACAAAAAAGACAGAATGTGTGTGCGTTGTGTACAGTCATGCCTGTTTAGTGTTTGAGCACATTGCAGGTGCTCTGTGTTCTCAGGGTGTATGTGGAGGTGTGTGTGTGTGTGTGTGCTGGGGGTGGGGAGGTGAACCAGAGTGCCACCTGTTCTCAGTCATGTGGCCCAGCAGTGACACTGTGAATCACTGAACAGGCGGCACATGAGGAACACACACACAGATGGCCACAGCGCTGGTCCCGGCCCTGCTGTGCATTTTGGCTGACACTCTCACACTGTGGTTTATCAGCCGCAGAATGACACATCGACACGATGACCACAGAACATTCAGCAAACGTCACGCGTGCATAATTAAGACAGGTGCAGAGAATAAAGAGTGAGCCCTGTGAGTTTGCCTTTAGCAGGAGAACAGTTTTCATTTTTCCAGTTCTTCAGCTAAAGAGCTGATGAAATGATGACTGCTGATTCAACTCACACTGGAATGTCACATGTGTTTAACCTAGTTTTGACAGTAGGTGAAAATAGAATCACATTGCTGCTCTCGGGGGGGGAGACTAAATTCATTTTGGGAGTAAAGTCTTAAAATGACAGTGATTTATTTATTTATTTGTCAAAATTCTCTTTTGAGCAAATGAAGTGTCCAGCTCCATATTCCCGATAACATTATTAATGTTGACACCAGACTGACTCGTGGTCCCCCGTTGTGGTTTCAGGAGCTGAGAGGTGTCATGGTGTCCGGTGGATGCTAAAAAAGAGGGACTACATCACCTCTGATCTCAAGGTAGGACTCTTTAAACATATACTTTCTTCTCTGATCCACAGTTTCTGACTTGGTGCCAGTTTTCACATAACCAAGCAGTACTAACTACAGTACTGTGCAAAAGTCTTGAGCCACCCCGCATTTCTTCGTACTTTGCTTCCTAGGAGCCAGGCTCTGGCAATAGCTTTCCATGCTTTCCGAAGATCATTCAGTGTATATATATATATATATATACACATATATTTGTAAGCCACTTAACACTAAACTATGAATCATTTAAGAAAATAAAAATAAAATAAAAATGCACCTTTTCTTTCGTTGACTTTCCAAAAAAAGTGAAACATAAGATAAAAATTATATTTCTGCACCAACAAGGTGATATTGAAACAGCTCTTAGCCAAAAACTGGGGATATATCAACTTGATGTGCAGTGGCTTTTTTGAAAAATTTGAGGAAATTGGACAAGCAGGGGACAAACGGACAAGTGGCAGGGCCTAAAACAGCATCTTAAAGTCATGCCTTTAAGAAACAAAGACAAATCCTGACAAGAGGACCTCAGAGATGCATGTGGCCCTTCATTTGATCCATCTAATGTTCACTGAAGCCTCATCAGAAATGGTGTCAGGGGAAAAGTGGCTGCCAAGAAGCCATTCTTTGTGACCATGGGCAAAGGAAGAGAAACAGGAAGAAAGGGCTGAGTTATGCAAAATTACGCAAAAACTGGATTGAAAAGTGGCAACAGGTCTTATGAACTGAAGAATCCAAGTTTGGCCAGAGAAGCGATATGACACTGAGTGCAGACAGCCATCTGTACAACTCGGTGGAGGCTCTGTCGTGTTTTGGATTTGCATTTCAGCCTGCGGTGTTGGGGATCTTGTCAAAATCGATGGAATTATAAACACAGAAAAGAACCATCAGATTTTGATCCACCATCCAAAGCAATATGAAAACTGTGTGACTGAAAAGGGCTTCATTTCTCAGCATGGCAGTGATCCCCAAAACACTCCCAATGCAGTAAAAGTATACCCGACGTTTTTAGAAGCAGTGTGGGATCATCTCGACAGAGAACAGAACAAAATCAGAATCACTTTTATTGCCAAGTTTTAAATAAATATAAAGAAATGAAGCGTGGCTCAAGACTTTTTCACAATGTTGTATAATATACTACAGCTGTCCTTCATAAACTATACTCTGCTTTGTGACCTCAGCATTTAACTGACTTTACCCAGTTATGTAACAGATAAAGGCTATAAAAAATTAGGGTAAGTAGGTGAGGCAGGTAGAGGAGTAGGTCGATGTGTGAAAAGAGTGAGTAAGAGAGCAGTAGGAGTGCACATTACACACACACACACATACGCAATCATTAATTATGAAGGAGGTGAGTTGCAAAGTCACGGGTGTCAGTGGATTACTCCTCTTTTATGATTTCTCATGCACGCAAACACCTTTTTATGCTTTTGAACTTTGTGTGTGCCGTAAGTGCTGAACGTGCATGTTCTGTAAAAGTTGCTGACTCAGCCATTCAACTCATATCAAAACCACATTAGAGAGCGAGAGATCAACGATTTCGTTTTTCATTCTGTTAGCAATCAGCGAGGAAGCTGCGATTAGCAAAATTCACCGTATCTCACTGACAGTTTCATTTACCGAAAACTTTTCCCAACCTCCAAAGCAGTTTGGGTTATGGTGTAAATGTCGTATTGCTTTACGCTATGTAACCTTCAACAAAACCTCCCCGGTTACCCCGTGTTGTAATCACATTATAATGTCACTGCTGCTGCTGCAAGCTCATTTTTACACCACTGGACGGTTGCTGTCTGGTTAGACTCAATGTTGTAGTGCAGTGTGTGAGTTTTAGCAGCAAACATCAAAGCTAAGTTATCTGCAGGGACATGTGGCTTAGCCTTAGTCTCCATGATAGGAAATTGACTAGTTGGGACAATCTGCTGAAAATGTATTCCTTTACATGCGCTCCTAACTTTGTAAGCTCCTTTACTTTTCACTGAGTATAACTTTGGGGGGAGGGGGAGTATATTAAGCACGACTGGAGTTCTTAGCTTATCATAGCACCACAGTTGGGATTAGCTGGTTGTTTGGGGAACTAAGGGAAAAGCCGGGGCTCCCTATCAGTCGCTCTCTCCTCGAGTAAAGGCCCTAATTATCAGGGCTGCAGCGCTCCATTCAGCCAGCTATATGTGGGTGTGCTTAGGCAGTCTCTCAGTCTGACTGCCTGTGTGGCTCTCTGTCTCCTCGCAGTGTGAGTGTGCGTGGAGGTGATTATTATAGTGTCTGTCGGTCTCTCGCTGTACTCAAAAGCTGACTCACGTTATGCCACATGTACACACGGACATACGCGCGCACAGTCCCACACACAATCCTACATATCAGAGGCTGAAAAGTACCATCTGTACCAGGGACACAGTCTCCTACACCCATGCTCACACACCCTCACACACAGACACATAACTTCACTTGCTACTCTCAAACTTTCTTTCTAGACCCCGTCACTGTTATAAGCTGTTTATTTTTCAAACATGCTTGCATGCGTGTGGCTGGCATGACAGGAATTTGGGGTCTCACACCCATAAAGTAGGTGCTGTATATATTTGGAGTGTGAGAACTGCTCCGTCCCCATCCCTGATCTCTTTAATTACACACACAAAGTCTCACACATGCACACATGCCTGCATTTCTTCCACACACATAAACACATGATTGTTAGCCTTGTACCAGAGCTGCGAAAACAGTGCTTTGCTTTTTTTTTCTTTATTGTCCCCTCCTACCACACACACACACACACACACACACACACATGCACATTCGGGACCCTGGGACAAGCTGTAATTCCTCAGCTTCACTTGTTGTGGGAGAAGAAGTATGGGATTTCAGCTCATATATATTTAATCTTTTCAAACTCTTATTATATGGGTGCATGTATGAGAGGAGCAGCTGGGGGAAACTGTGTTTGTGCAGGGGCAGTGTGTGTGGCACACTAAAGTCCCACCCGTGCCCACATCAATCAGCAGTCCTCTTCCTGTTCACTTTTGCAGGATGATGTTCTCTCACCGCACTCTTTGGTGTGCACTCACTCGAAACAACACTTTAGACAGTAAACACACTGTAATAGAATAGAGTACTGTACTAATCTCACACTAGGAGCAATATGAGAAAGCAGACTCACCAGTCCAAAAAACACACAACAAAAACCCCCAACAGCACAATATTTCCTTAAAGAGGAATGGCTGGGGTTTATATGGTGCTTCTAGTCTTACTGACCATTCAGAGTGCTTTATCTAGCACACATCCATGGCCAACAGACTCCACACAGAGAGGGTTTGAACCAGGAACCTTCTTTCTGTAAGGCAACATTAGCCACTGTGTGGCTGGACTTAAAGAGACATCTCTGTTGAGCTAAATAAATAGCATTTAGTCAACTTTAACCACTGTAATTGTGAACAGATAATGTATAATTCAGTACTCTGTGGTGGGTCATTTACAACTGGAGCAGTACAAGCCTTAGTAGCATCCAAAAGACATGCTAAAATGTGTTTCATCACATCAGATGTATAATTAATATGTAATTGGACATTATTGATGTGAACTTTGGTGTGGACCCTTACTGCTATTCTTGGTGCAGCCATTAATGCTTCCAAGCTCCTTGCACAGTACTGTACGTACCATAAACACAGGCTTTAAGAAAAACAATCCATCCATATAAGCACCACTGCCTTCAAGTACCATAAAGACCCCCTCTGTGCTGTGTCCCTCCCCGCTTTCAACACAAAACACATTATTGAACAGTCTTTGTCACTTCACAATAGACATCTAGATCCACCCGGTAGGACACGCAGCACATGCCATGCACTTACTTCACCAGGGGCTTGAATCTAGCACACACTTTCTCTTCTTGTCACTTTTCACTGCGAGCTAATAAAAACAAAAATGCTTCCACTCATTTAACGTTGTGTTAGGAAAATGGAACAGGCAGCAGGAGACTGATATACTGTAAATTCCAGAAGTTTTCCTGACCTACATAAATTAGCCAACTTTACTTTAATTAATAAAAATATACTTTTCATTAGATTTTATGAGGTTACTGTTAATTGTACGGAGAAAATGTTTACTTTTTACTTATTGCTTCGAGTGACGTTAGCATAAAAGCAAAAGAGCTGAAGCAAAGGAAACAATTACATTGTTCCACCAGTAGGAGGAAACAGACTTGGCGCTACATTGTGTCAAGTCTGCCAAAAAGAAGAAGATGTCAATATCTGACCTCCCAAATTCGCTTCTGGATTGGTCAAAAATTCCCATAAACATATTCCTAAACTTTGTGGAAAGCCTTCCCAGAAGATTTGAAGCTGTTGTAGCTGCAAAGTGTGGGAGAATGGGATGCTCTCAAGTTCGTATGCATGTGAAGGCAGACGAGCGAATACTGAATGTTCATCCAAATCCGATGTTACATTCTGTTTGTCTTTGTTTCACATGTCACATACAGTGTAAGCAATGTACCGGTCACCGAAATTTGTATCTTTGCCGTGATTTTATTGGACTTACCACTAAATACGAAACGAAGAATACGAAAAGGTTCTGCAGGGCTGGCTAGCACCAATTCAAGCACGTAAGAGTGCTTGAATTTTGCCCATTTTTATGGCTCTTTTTATCTTTTAAGGAACAGTAAGGTAAGTTATTAAACTTGCAATAAGTGTTTAACTTTGTTTCTCAGTGCAGCCGACAATATTTAATGATAAATGGCTTTTATCTGTGTCAACTTGCCGAGGTTGACACAGTGAATGCAGTTTGGCCCTCCAGGTGTTACAGCAGGTGAACTCCATGCAAATACTGACAGTACTGATAGTGTCAGCTACAGAGGCAACTCTACATGAAGCTTGTTACAGCCACGCTGGCTGGTTAATGAATCATCATATTTGACTCTAAGGATTTAAATATCATTTGTAGATACATGGTTGTTTCTATAAGTGCTGACCTCTCTGTAGGATGTTCACTCGTTATAATACTGAGCTTGCATGGCTGAAACTATTTCCTTGTTCCTATTTGGATGTCGATGAACTCGCCCTGTTTTGAGTCAGAGTTCTAAGAATCTAAATAGTACACAGTGGAAGTTGTTTGGTTGCTTTTAAAGAGGCTTTGTGAGAATGAAGAGGCCTGGGGTCTGTTAATGGTGCTGACTGTCACTGATGTAGCTGCGCCCGTCTCATCAAATCCTCTCCACCCTGACACGGACACGACTGACCGTATTTCTGAGAGAGATGTTTTAATGGATGATCCCAAGAACCTCCCCAGAGTACTTTCCCTGAAGCTGTGAAAAACACTTTCATATTTATCTGAAGACTAACGCTTAGATTAAGACGGAAAAGAAGAGACTTCTGTCAAACCTGCACACTTTTAAAGGTACAAGTTTTTAGAACTTGAATGCAACTAAATAAACGTCTTAAAATCGTCACATGTGAAACCAAATGATGATTTCTGACTTATTATGTGTGAACAGGGACAGCTTAGTAGATGTACATGTATTATGTTATGAAAAAGTTTCACTTGTATCTTTAGGTCTTTTTTTTAAATTATTGATTTCTGAAGCATTCAAAAAAGCCGAGTAACAATTATTTACTATTTTAAGGCCATTGGTTGAGGTTAAGGCTTATTAATTAGAATTTACAGTGTAGCCTCAGCGATTTGCACCGAGGCTAGGAGTGGTTTCACAGTGTTCAGATTTTATTGTTTGTTTGTTTGTTTGTAGTCTGTTCTCTTTTTAGAATTGTTCCGACCATAAATAAACTGTGTGCGCGTGTATCCATAAGTCATCGTCTTAGCATCATCCATGACACACTCCCGTCCTCCCTGCGGCAACTAATTTTGCCTCCTGTTATCCTGCTGAGGCAGTGCTTTCTAAATATAACCTGTGTGTGTTTGTTGGGTTTGTGATGCATACTGTTGGTTGCACCAGTGTGGCTCTTTGGCATTATTATAGAGAACAGGATGGTTGCTTTGGCAAGGAATGGCTGGAACAAATGTTTCCGGCCTTGGAGAGACCTGTTTGTAGTTTTCAAAGTCTTGTTTGGCTACCTTTGAGCACGTGGCATATAATTCTTGTGCTGTCTGTGCACACAGTCAAATCACTGTCATCTAGTAGGCACAACCAAGAAATATATTAAACTCATAAGTCAAGGTTTTATATGTTGGCAAAGCCATGAGAACTATGTTTCAACAAATAAAAAATACAGTAGTTCTATATTATTGAGCCATAAAACACATCTAACATATCTATAAGCACCACATCAGGTCCATCCACAGACCTTCCACTCTATAAACACATTTATGCTATATTTATGTAGCTATCTAAAGCACAAACCTCACATCTCATAATGAAGACATTGCCCACCTTCACTAAATAACTCAAAGCACAAGAGCATTCAATCACTGGCCACTCAGTAGTTACACACATTCAACTGTATGCTAATGTGAATATCTAATCAGCCATTTATGGTCAAGATGACCTGATGAAGTAGATGGTTAAGAAATGCAATTGTTAGTGCCAGACAGGCTGCTCTGACTGCTTTACAAACTACCAATCTACCACATACCCAAAGTACAGAGAATAGTCTGAAAAAGAGCAAATAGCCAGTGAGCAGGGGCAGATCTAGAGGGTAGTTTTATGAAATGTGTATACTTTATTTGAATCGTTTTAACTATATGCAATACCTGCATATGTGGGTTTTTTAAAAGGGTTGATTTTGCCACCCTAAGGGAATTTCTCCACCTCGGCCCCTGCCAGTGAGCTGCACTTCTCTGTGTGAAAATTCCTCATTTGATGTCTGAAATTAAAGGAGAATGGCCAATCTTCTTAGAGCTGACAGGAAGGCAACAATAAGTCACTTGCTACAAGCAAGGTATGCAGAAGAGCATCTCTGAATGCACAACACATTGAAACTTGAAGCCGATGGCCTGCAGCAGCACAAGACCACACTGGGTGCCACTCCTGTCAGCTGGAACAGGAACCTGAGGTTGCAGTTTGCAGCAGTTTTGAAGGAAAAAGAAGGGATCTAACCTGGTACATAAAATCTGAACCAAATACCACTAATTTAAAGTTTACTGAGCACTTATTACATGTTTACCATCTTTGTAACTGTGTTATTAATAAATAGTGTATTCTAGTCAGGTTGAGGGCAGGCTGTATCATTTTAGAAAACTGTTGAGTCTAACGAAACAGACTGTCTGTTCTCACTGTAACAATGTGCAAGTTGCCCAAAGAGAAGAAACCATTCCCGGATCATTTCAGCAGTGGATCTGTGAGGCCAGTAGTTTTCTTATTATGGATGTACAAGAAATCCAAGTCACAGGCAAAAATGTACTCAGACTAAAACACTGCGATAGTCTGTCTTCCTGTGGGTAATATGAAGTGAGGGGCGCTTCCTCGTCCAGAAATAGACCGAGGCAGAGAAATAGCTGCTGGCTGTGCTGGAGTCCAAGCGCTGGTCACGAGTCTGCCTGAAGAAGAAAAAAAAACACTCCGGAGTTAAAAATAAAAAGGTACAAAGAGAAATAAACGGGCCCGGTACCGGCAGTCGGATCTAACGCGAGCTTACCCTGGGATTCCGGGGGCGGGGATTGACGTCACGTTCTCTTTAAACACAGCTCAGCGCAATACGAGCTGTGCCCGTCAGCTTCAGTGAGAGAGCTTCTTTGACGCGGAGAGAAACACGGAGAGCCGTGCGAGCGGAGCTGGGGCTTGACAGCAGAGACAGCCATCAGACACGGAGTAAAATATCTGAACGAGCCCATCACGGACACCGGAGACGCTCTCCTGCTGTCAGGAGGCTCAAGTGTCGTTTTTTTGTTCTGTTTTTTATTGGGAAAGGAAACGATAGAGACCGACAGGGATTATAGGACTGTAGCTGCTCTGCCGGCTGTTCGAGTTTCTATGCACACTCGGAGCTCTAAACTTCCAAACACAGCGAGTGTAAAAGGCTGCTGTGACTGACAGCGAGGACCCGGATACTTCATTCATATTTCATTCAACAATTTATTCCCCTTCTGCTGAGACTGTTGGAAGCTCTGCTGTGACCGGTGAGTGCCGGGGCTGGTGGGAGAAGGAGGGGGATTTAAAAGTCCAGGCGACTTTGTTTTGGTTGTAATGAGGGTGGGTTTTGGGGGGTGAAAAGAAAGTTTACTATGAAATTGCCTCGTGTGGCATCACTGGGCGATACCATCGCCGTACTGTCATGTTCGGCTACTGATCCATTGATTGATTCGGAACAATGAGCGCATTATCGGAACTGGCTGAGTGGAACTGTCGATCGTGTGTAATCGATGAGGTGGGGGAATTTCGCTGTGTTTTTCTCAACCACGGGTGGCTCCCTTTAATCCCACGCGTGTAGGCTGGGTCTCAGTTCGCCGAATTGTTTTCGTCATATTCACGTTTGAGCGTCTTTACCGGACCCGGTTAATCATTCGGCGCACGTGGGCTTATTTCTGCTAAATTGGCGATAGGATGGGAATCTGCGGTTTTTTTGTACTTAACACGAAACCTAGTTCCCCAACTTCTGTCCCGAAGCTAGTCTGTGCGTGCAGACAGTGTGTGATGACAGCTCCATCCACGGCAACGCGACCACGGTCCTAGTTCCGTTTCGCGTTGCCTTGAAAACTCATGATCATGCCGTGGCTGGAAAAGGGGAAGGGGAGTTAGAGGACAGAAAACTGCTTGTGTAATGAGATCTCACGCCATTGTGTGTCTGTGTGTTGGAGAGGGGGGTGGGCAGGATCACCGAGGTCGGCAGCCGTATAAAGTGAATGGATAGCTGCCTCCCCCAACCCCCAAAATCACCCTCCAGTCATAGTTACGCACACAAAGAGCTTGATTGAAAGGAAGTGATTTGCATCACCTCTGTTTTTTTCTTCTTTTTTTTCGAGGGGATGGGTGCTGACCTTAAAGTCTGAGTTTCAGGGTCAGATAGTCCACTAAAGTCTCTCTGCGTCTGGCCCGTGCGTATACGTGCGCCTTGGCCGCCTTACATCAAAATAACGACCCAGTTAACTCGTTTGGAGGAGTGGTTGCAAGCGTTTGAAGTATCATAATGAGCTATTGCATCACCACCCACAGACTTTACACACTTTTTTTTTAGTCAGGAGAAGGCAGTTGGTGAGAATTTGTGGCTGGTCGTGTCGCTCATTTGTCATTTTATTGCCCGCAATAAACGAGGGGAGATCAGAAGGAGGAGCGTGCTGGCAGGGGATCGCTGAGAAAACAAAAACGAATCCCTCTGAAGGTTTACTTCCGATCGATCAGATTGATTGGCATGGAAACAGCAGCGTGTTTTGTCTCACCTTTTCATGTCGGGGTAGTAAAAAAAAGTTAAAGCTCCACCTCGCTTCTAACACGCCGTGCCGACTGTGTGCTGCTGCTTCAAGCCCCGCCCCTTTCCTCCAGTGATCTCAACAGGAGTGCGTGTGTATGTGTGAATGAACAAGCGCCGCCCATTTTACTATGACTTGATGACGAACATGGACGATTATTAAAGCGATACACACGCGTCAGGAAACAGACGTGACAGTGGAAAGAAAGCTGTAAGCCTCAGTAAGAAGAGCAAATTATTAGAGCTTTTCACCCAATCCCATCCACAGCACTCTCCTTTTTCTCCATAAGTAACCCTGATACAGATGTAACTAGTTCACTATGATTTTTTTCCTTTGTACATGTGCCTGGCATTGGAAATGGGTCAGTAGGCTGGCTTGAAGTGATTACTCAGCTACTCCTGCCAGTTAACACTGTCTGTGTCAGATGGTGGGTGCTGCGCATCAACCATTTTTTGTCACCCGTTACACAAAACGAATATAATCAAGTTACAAGTTTTTCAGAGTGAAACTGTTGAGGTCAGTGATCGAAGGTGGCAGCGAAACATCTGTGCGACACCACAACGTTGAAACCGTTCCAGTAAAGGGTGTAGTTTCTCTTTCAGAGAGCAACGCAGAACGAGAGAGGTGGAGTAAAACGTAAAAGAGGAGTCGAGAGAGGGGTTTGTGTGTGTTTTCAGAACAATGTCTGCTCTGCCGATGATCAGTTTGTCAAACACACCCCGACAGTTCAGCCGATTAAATCTGGACTTGCTCCATGTGCTGGCTGGAATTTGCCCATCGTTTCATTTCAACGTTCAAAGGAAGGCATCCTGTTCACCTCAACTGACCCCACCCACACCCTCTATGTGATAAACATGATGACATCACATATAGGGGGGGGGGGGGTTGCACAGAGCTAATTTTCAGTGCACGAGCTGATCGCCTGTCCATGCAGCGTTTTAAAACGTGCACGCTGATAAGGATTTACTGACTGAAGGAAGAAGGGCTTTAAGACTTTGCTGGGGGAGCAGCTGGAGGCGATATCTTAGTCAGGCAAGTGTGGAATTCCACTATGCCTTCAGAGACAGACTGCCGGGGATCAAGGTCTGCCAAAATTGGCAGCGGGGGCCCAAAAACAACAACCATATTGTCTTCTGTAGGGTCCAGCATATGGTAAAAGTTATTATGCATGTCTGTCGGGTATGAAAAAGGGGGGAAAATCAATTTGGTGAAAAGAGTCATATAAAATATGAGCTTTAAATGAGGCAAAATTACAATAATTGGCAGTAAAACAAGCAAAAAAAACTGGAATAGACACAACTGAACTTTCTAAATGCATATGCCAGCGGCACTTTATGGACGATAATTGGCTTTTTAGCTTTTGAAATACGGCATCATAGCAGTGTGTATGGATGAATTCATTATCCCTGCTACTTCTTTCTCATTAGTTTCTACAAACCAGCAGGGCTCCGGTATGTCACCGGCCACACACAAACCACGGACATCGATCGTTTGCTGTACTGGACATTTATATTACGCTGTGATGTGATCTGAGGGCACTTGGGAAAAATAGATCCTCTGTGTAATACATTTCGCAATCTGAAGGAGTGAACTGAAATTTATTTAGTTATTTATTTTTTTACATGAGCAGGCAGGGGTTCAGATGCACCACACTAATGTTAAACACTTTTACGTTAGCTTTTAGCATTTGCAAAGTTGAAAGCTTTTCTACAGGAGAAAGGGGGTGTTCCTGTTCTACTACTATTTTAAAGCCAGTGAGAGTGAGGAGAAAGTTTTCCCTCTGAGTTCACTTTCTGTTATCTCTGGCCCTTTGCCATCAGCGATGATGCCACAGTGGAAGGGCTGTGTTTGAACCTACAGTGTGTGTGTGTGTGTGACTCATAGCTAAAGTTAAACAGGCTCTCACAACTTGGAAAGAATTTTCTTCCTTCCTTTGGTACCTCGCCTCACCTCCTGTGACTGCATTTACCCACGCTGGGAGAATAGCTGATAAGTCAGCCGGTGAGTAGGGAGAGATTCATGAAGGGGAAAAAACCCTACAAGATCAGCAGCTGTGGTATTTGGAGAATCTATAAACAGGCCTTGGATGTTCTCTGGTCTAAACGAACAAACGTCATAACAAAGCTGCTCTGCCTGTGTCACGGTTGTTCTGATAAAGTCAAAATGATCGTAATTACACCCACTGTAAAAACAACGGCGTGCTGACCATCTGCACACATGCTGTCATTATCTCTGATTAGCTGCAACTCTCTCTCTCGCACACACACACACATGTCGGGTATTCATGTCTTGCTGGGACATCTAATTGACATCATGCCACTTACTCTAACCATAACTCTGGCACTAAAACCACATTTTGAGTCTCAAAAATGCCTTCAAACTCGTGGGGACTGGGATTTTGGTCCGCATAAGGATATGACTACACATGAACACACACACACACATGTTGCTAAGTGTTATTCACACACACAGACTGCCAGTGAAACACAATGTGAGTCCAGTGAGGAAGAGGATGGGGGTGGTGTGAGGTCAAGTCTGCCTTGTGTTTCAGGAAACATGTTGATTAGTAAAGCCCTCTCATAAACCCCGTCTCTCTATGTCAGACTCGCCAGCTTACTTCAATAACTGTTGGTTAAGACGCGACTAGTTCCCCTGGTAACTGTTGCCAAGGAAGCTGTCTCTAGTCTTGTTTGGTGTATTTCTGAGCGTCTGTGTGTTTGAGTGTGTCAGCCCTGGATGTGGACTAGACGTACCTGGAGAATGGGGGAGGGGGATTTTTAGACTATTTTCACACGTGCAGCTGTGTTTGTCCAGAGCTTTTCTTGCACTGGTTATAGAAAAGCCTCACTCAAGAGAAGCAGAAAGAAAAGTTGGGGGACTTCTGAGGTTGCTCATGTGCGAGAATCGAGCCGCCGTCGCTTCTAAGATTTCGGCTTTGTCCTTCAGAGGTGTTGAGTCATCCCTCTTTTTTTTGGTGTTTCTTGTTTTCTTTCCGATTCTCCGCTGACATGCACAGAAGTCTGTAGTTTCCTCTGAAACTCTAGAGTTTCTGTGAAAAAGAAGCCGAAAAGCACAAGTGACACAGACGCCCATTCTCCCATCACCTGTTTGTCACTCACTTTTACCAGAAGCCTGAGAGCGCGATCAGGCTTTTCACTTGAGCAGCAGATCAGAGTAAAGTCAGTTATGTCGCTTGTTTTTGTTGAAGTGGCTGGTGTGAGTCATGAGTTGGACACACGTGCCGTCGCACAGGATGACTGTGTGTCTGAGGTGTATTTTTAGGAACCTGCAGTGGCGAGCTGACCCTGCTTATTTCACATCTGCTCGTATTAGTCACATAAGAAAGTCATTTATTGCACACACTCTAAAACGCTCCGAGTTATCTTTTTAACAGGAAGCCTCATGGTTTTTAAAAAGAACCAAAACCCTTCCCCAAAGCTCGATTTTTCTCCCTCACACATTTGTACACACGCCCCCTCAGGGAGGCCCACTTCCTGTGGTTGTGACGACAGTTTCCTCTCCCCTTAGAGCTCTCTTCCTCTTCTCTTTAAACGTCACTTACACACAAGTGCAACTGGTCTCTTTTGTATGATTTGTGCACCACTGTAACCCAGTCCTAAGTTGTCAGTCACAGGATGTCACAGGAAAATAAAAGGACCTCTTGTTTTCTTCCTTCCTTTCTTTTCTTTTTTTTCCACCTACACACTCCGGTTGCAATTTGTGCTTCTTTTTTCACCAAGAGATAAAAACGTAGTCTAACTGTAATCATCTCTCATCTCCTGAATGAGGTCAAGGCGGTTGTCAAGACCACCAAAATTAATGGAAAAAGTAGCGTTGAGGAGCCGAACAACAAACTGACAGGCTGACCACTGACAGCCAGAACGAGATAATGATTCGTTTGTGGTTGCTGCTAACCTGATGATTGTCCCTGTTGTTTTCTAAATGTTTACATTGGAAGCAACTTCAAGCCAACACAGTTTAAATATGAAGACTTTGCCTCCACAGATGCTCCTACTGCCTCTCTTTCACGGCCTCAATGTCGAGCAGATGTGTGGGAGTACGCACGGAAGAAAGCAACTGTGAGCTTTACCTGAATTGTTGCTCTGCACAGGCTTAAGTGAATGAGGGAGTGGGTTAAGGGTCAGCTCAGCACAGTGTTTTCTCAGTCCAGAGTTGTGTGTGCGTGTGTGTTGTTGTTGTGAACACTCCGCCACAAAGGTCAGCTCCTTCTGGTTTTCTGCAGAAACCGTTTGCTTTGCCGTGTCCTCAGCTGAACTGCACTGCCTTGTGTGCGCTGGCTGGCACATCATCCTCTAATTCTGTGTGTGTGTAAAGATGCAGACGTGATAAAGTTAGCCCACATCATCATCATCTTGGAACAGCATGCACTGACGTTAGTGCACGCACAAACAAATAAATACAGTACATGTAGACACAGGGAGCCTGGCAACGGGGCGGGGGAGGACGGATGCAGGGGCTACGTGTGTGTGTGAGAGAGAGAGAGAAATGCATGGTGTTTCCTCCAGAACACGATCTCTATCTGGGACTGATTATGTAATGGCCAAGTGGAGTAAAGCTGCGGGAGGAAGGAACAAGAAGAGAGAGAAGACCATGCATGGCCTTGCCGCCATGCTTGATGGGAGACTGACTGCTGCCAGAGCTCTTTTCTAACTCGTTTTCTTTCTATTATCTGCCACTTCTCCCAGTTTTATCTGGTCATTTCTTATCAGAATGGCTCTGCAGTGAATTTACTCAGACAGTAAACTGCTCCCCAGCTGCCTGCTTTTACCTCGTCAAGCCCTCGTCCTTGGTCATTGCTCATATTCCCGTTCCAGCAGCCTCGTGTGCTTTCCTCGGACAAACAAGTAAACAAGTAGACTCTAACAGATGGATATTTTCGCAGTGGACGTCGTTATTGGCGTCTTTTTCTCGTTTTTTCTCACGCGTTTGTCTGAGGCAGAGGCACAGAGACGGAGCTTGTGTAACGATTTAATTTAAACTGTTCCCCTCAGCGCTCATCGGCGACGAAGCAGGCTTCCCTGTGCACAGCCGCAAGCATGTGACGTTGGGCTGTGCCATGAAATTGCTTTGCTTGTCAGATCCCACAGAGAAACGTTTCATTAACTGTCTGACTTCCTGGGTGTAATGGTTGTCTGACGGCCGACGGCACAGAGTTGTTCTGTACCCGCTCGACCCCTGGGCTGCTGTTTCGGGGACATTAACTAACTTTCCTACGATAACCAGGGTGTTGACAGGAACACCTCTTTGATGGTCGGGGGGTGGGGGGCGGGGGGGATTCCACTTCCACAAGATGTACTCTGGAGGGGATTTTTGATTGAACAATAAATGATGTCATGAGTGATAGTTTTATCAGCTGCGTATGACAGATGCAGATGTTCTCAAAGGGCTTTCGCTTCTTTTACCGTAGTAGTTTTTGTTTGCTGTGGTTAGAGCAAAATAAAATTGAAAGCAAGTAGCAATCACGCTAACACCTGCAGCGCTTGAAGGTTTAAATTTAAACTTCTCAAAGTGCTTCCTGTCTTTCTTTGAGTTCTTCGGCAGCAGAACGTTCCATTTGGGTGAAACGGTTACGGATTAATCAGTCTGAACATTTTCGTAGAATTTTCCTCATCGTTTCTCCTGAAGTTGCGGTTTACTAGTTTGATCATTCTCTCGGCCACGAAACCCCCTACCGAACATCTCATCGGCACATCCTGCTTATTTGTCTAAACATGCAGTCACGTACTGATTACCCGAGCGTCACGCTTCTAAGGAAGCAGAAATGACATCACACGGTCAGAGAAATTCCCGCTGTTGTTACTTCTGCAGTGGTGCAGAAACGCCCCCGGTCACCTGACTGTAAGTGGTGTCCCGGAGGGGCGGGGTTTCAGGCCCAGCGGTTTGGGGTAAGCCGTCTTCCAGGCGAGCTGAGTCATCGGGGGTTCCCCAAAAAATAACCTGCGTAATGCTCACGCTCACTCTCACTGCTTCTCCTCTCCTACACCATACTCTTACCCATAGGTGCTATAACCACATTTCATCGCTTTGGTATAATCTGATAGAACCCGAGCTGCTCTTGAACAAGTTTCTACCGCCTGTGTGTACGATCTCATTACAGAGTACTGAGTTTCTAACACTATGCTGCTGAGTAGCAATGTGATAGCCAGGGTAGATGGCTGTTTGGTCACACACACACCCTCTATAAAAGTAGTAATTACAACCTGGCCACCGTGTCCCCATTTGCTCTCAAAAGAAGTCACAGATGATCTCTAGCTGTATTTTTGTTTGTCTTTCTTCTAATTTAAACCTTTCTACTTTCACCACAATGCAGTTTTACTACATTTTGCCAGTGCTATGTTTTCCATGTGATGGTTGACTGAGTTTATGGGCTTTTGCTGTTAGAGTTAGACGGGCCTCTTACTTGCCAGCACGAGTGAATGAGCAAGAGTTCTTCACTCCCATTTTATCACTCTGCCATGCATCACCTGAAGGGTGAGGATGATGCAGGTGGAGATGATGCACCGAAGCAAAAGAGAGAAGGGGTGGGGTAAAGAGCTTCTCAGTCGATGCTGAGAGAACCTTCACTCAGTCTCGTGCTTTGAGACCGAGACGCTAACTCAGAGTGTTGTTTACCCTGGTCGTGTTGTTGTTGTTGTTGTTTTTCTCCCTGACAAGCTGACATTTTTCCCTTCTCTGTGTTTCAGGATTGAGGAGACCCCGGAAGAAATGATTGGCAGCTGAAGCTGAGACTTAACACAACTGTGAATCAATAACTCGGTGCTACTCTAAAGGTGCGCACAGCGTGAGTGTTTGTATCACTTTTCCTTTAAAGCACGTGGAGTGCAGTCCTGACAGTTAACGCCGGCCTATCTTCACATAGCAGCGGCGTCTGGCAGATCGTGATCCCTCGCCCCTTGAGGGTGGTTTTCATGTGTCAGTGAACAGCAACCCTCCTCGTGAGCTAAAAGTGTACAGTGTTTGAAGTATCCTCTGCTGGGCTTTATATAGAGCCCGTGATCCAGCGTTAGTGGGAGGAAGAAAAGGAAGGGAAGATGAACTGGTGGGAGGAAGTACTGCGTACGGCCAGAGCTAATTCTGGAAAAACTAGTGGAACAGTGCTATGCTGAGCAAGGCAAATGAATCATAACCCTTGTGTGCATGTCTGTTGCTCTCCCACTGATCCACTGATGAATTATGCAGCACATTTCAGTCATGGCACTGCAGTTTATAAAACATCTCTGTACTTACGTTAGGCCCGAAATATCCACCTTAAATGTAATATTTACATATTTGTCTTATATTACATTGATATTATATTGAATATAATGATGAAGATGAATCTGGGTGTTGTTCTTGAAAGATTAACCTTCTAATCTGGTGTTAAATGGATGACAGAATGGTGGTTTTTAACTACTTAACATGTTACAGGTAGATATTTAGTTAGCCCAGTTTCTAACGGCGGCCATGATCGTGCAGGTTTAAACCTCCCTCTCAGGTTTTGTCTCTGGTCTCTTTTGTTGTCAGTATTGAATCTCTGTTCTTTGAAACACACACTTCTTCTATTCATCCCGACACCTTCGGTCTTTTGTGCCGTGTGTGTCCGGTGTTTCTGAAAGCAGGGAGGGGGAGAGAGAGTTATCTCTCAGCTTCTTTCATGTGTTTTCCCCTCAACCATCTCCTTTGTGTCGTTTGTGTGTTTGTGGGAAGGTGCGTGGGCGTTTTCATGGCACCATTCCCACTCTGCACTCCACCTCCCTCCCTCCATCCCTTCCCTCTTCTCCTTAATCTATCCTTCCCATCCTGTTCAGACCGTCTGTTGCCGCTGCCCCCCCTCTTCCTCTTCATCACGCCTGCCGTAATGAGATTAAACCTTAGTGTATCCACTGGGCGCACGCACACTTTATGTATACACACACACACACAACGCTGCAGTACACACACAATCATCCACTTAAAAGAGAGCACACTATTCTCTCTCTCATGCACTAAAACAGCACAGGCCTGCCATCACTGTGCAGCTTGCACACTTGGACCGCTTCCACTTGCGTGGCGTCCAACATCACACAGTTGGCGTGAGACCAAAGCCTCTCACTCTTAGTCTTTCCCTCTGTCTCTGGCTATCAGGAGGCTCATGGTAAGGATTACAGTAACCCCAGGTCTGTCCTCAGAGGTGAGCTCCCTGCTGAGCCATCTGGGCTTCAGAAATAATCAGATTCCACACTGACTAGTTTACTGCTGCCTCCTACAGGCTGAGTTATGCATAGCAGCCGTCATCAGACAAGTTATAAATGTAAGTTTCTTCAGGAAATGTTCTTGACAGAAGCAGAGGAGATGCTGGCAAGCTGTCCATCTCTCTCATTCGCTTACTTCCAAACACACACACCAGCTTGTCCACACAATAAAATAAAAGGCCTGATGGGTTTTTCTGTTTTTAAAGTCTCTGACTCCCCTCTCATAATGATTCTCTTGGTCTTCTCTTTCTGCAGGCAGTTGGCTTTTAGGCTCCTGGTGCTGAAGATAGACCTCCACATATTCTCAGTGTTGGAGTGAGGCCCTCTCTGAGCTGCAGTGGAGGGCTTCACAGATACAGCTAGTCTGGTAAGTACTTTTGTTTCTGCAGCAAGGAATTTGATGGATCTGTCACAAATCTGCCACGAGAACTAAAAACTATGACGTTTTTTTTTTTAATGAAAATTAAAACATATTGACGGGACCAGTTATTTGTAAAATCTGCATCATAAAGCACGGCAGCTTCGTCCAAAGATGTTTTTCTGTTTTCTCTCTGAGCGTATCTGTGTGTTAATTGTGTGACTGTACAACTAAACATGCAGGCTGGATGCATCACCCAATAGAGCAGTTTGGCGGGCGAGGCACACGGGATTCCTTCCCTCTGGACGAACTCAACCGGGGGCCATGGCCTCCCGTGGGCGGCCGCGCCTGGCAGCCACCTGCCAGGTATGTAGTCATGACAACACAACACCATATTTTTTGCAAAACCTCTTTGGTTGCATTGATTCATCAGGTTAATCCTGCTGGTAGAGTTCAAGTTAAAGGCGATCAACAACTTTGTATCCCGTCTCTGCTCCTCATCAGGTGTTCACCTACGATGAACCAACACCAGCTACTTCCCCATCTACCTCCTGGACCTATGGGTGGATTAAACCATCACAGCAAATATTTCAGTAATGGGTAAGTAATGGAACAAAGACATGGGTGGCACAGCTACTTTTAAAATGCAATAGATTTAGAGGAGTTAAAATGTTGATGTCATTCAAATGTTTTTAATCCTTTGTGTGTTTTATACTCCAGGCCGATGCGAGGAAGCGAGAAGCTCGATCTCCCACAGCCAATGCTACCACCTCTGCAGAGGGAGCAGCAGAGACCTCCCCACCATCTTCATCCTCCACCTCATCACAGAGCGTGGGAAATTAGCCAGCTATATGATTCCCACCTTCCTCCTCGAGGACATCCGGTCATGCCCCTGCCCAATGACCTCTCGCTCCGTCTCCATAATGGAGGCTACGCGGGCAGCGGCGGACCTCCACCTAACCCCCATTTCCCCTCCAGGGGGCCAAACCAAATGCTGAAAGTGAGAACAGTGTTGCAGTGTTATTCTATGTCAGCCTTTTGCACTGAGCTTAAATAATTCTCTGCTGATGAACAATAAATCACTCTAAACACTTTCTTTTGTTGGTTTTCTGTCTATTTTAGTTTGGGGGTCCTCAGGAGCAGAATGTTCCCCGGGGTCCACCTTTGCTGGGAGATGACATGTGGGCTCAGGTGCACCAGGTAGGAACTCTCTAATTGGTTAGGATCATGTTTCATCATCGACAAAAACACCCAGCACTCCCTGTTCAGACCAATAAAACACCAATTCCACTCAAAGTCACTTTTGCCTCCCAGATTTTGCTGTGAATATTTTGATAAAGGGATTCTTTGGACTGACACTGCAATAGTCTTCATCTGCAGCAACTAAGATCTTTTTCTGTGCACAGCAGAGGCCATACCCAGGAAAGATGCAAGGAGGTCAGCTGAAGCGACCAGGCCCTCCACTGGGTGAACACTCTGTTATCCAACACACGCCTTCACCATCGCTGCATACGCCCTCACAGCCTGCAGCAGAGGAGTGTCCCAGCCCCAGCAAAAGGAAAAAGAGTTCAGATCAGGTATTGGACAGTCACAAATAATAAAATCAGTTCTTTTTTCCCCCTCCTCAGATCTTTGAGTAGTAAAATATTGTAATGTGCAGGTATCTCACCCTGGGCTGCAACGTTTCTCTGGTGCTGGCCAATCTTTGCCACAGCAGCAGTCGTCTGCTCAGCACCACCCTCCAAAGCCCGCCTTCTGGAACCCCATTCACAAGGACAGCAGTGTTCCCTGGCAGCCACAAACCTCAGAGCGCAAGAACCCACAATCACAGTTCCAGGTCTGAGCAGGAGCAAAATCTCTGCACTGTCTACTTGATCACTGACTACTGCTTTATTTAAAGCAGTGGTCAGGCCCTTTGTATATTATTCTCATTGTCCTGTTTTTCTTTTTCTTCTTCTCTTGTTTTGTGGCTCAACAGGAAAACAACAAACAAGGTATGGGCAGCTACAACCAGAAGTCCTCTCCTGCATCTTTGGCCCCTTCCAACCTCTCTCCTTTACCCAACTCCCCTCCAGGAAGCTACAACCAGGGATGTGCTCCTAAGCTTCAGAAAGACAAGTTACAACCTCAGGCTGTAAACCATCGGTCCCCTCACTCCTCCTACCCTAGTCCCGGCTCCAAACCGGAGAGAGCTCCACCATGCCAAGCTAAAGAGACTCGTGGTTCTCAGATGCAGAGAGGCCCTTTTATTGGGGGCCAAGGTGGCAGCCAAGCTACCTCTCACACAGCATCAACTCCAACCAGGGGAGACAGAGATCATCACCGACATGCCCAGTCGTCACCAGCAAACATTTCTGCGTCTGGCAGCAACAACAGCAGCAGCAGTGTGCCTTACAGCCACTTCCAGCCTCATCCAGGGCTGGTCCACCAGGGTCCTCCTCCTCCACCGCCTCAAGCCAGCAGCACCTCAGTACCTCAGCAACAGCAAAGCGGTCCACATGAGGCCTGGAGATATCAGAGCACGCCCAGCAATCACTCCCTGGTGAGTTCAAGTTATATGCTGCAAGAATGAGTTCCTTTAATAAAGGGCAGCACAACGCAGGCACTTCAGCTGTTAACACAGTTGTTTTTTGATCACTATTATATTAAGTGACTGAAAAATTCTTTGTCTTCAGGAGTCGGGCAGCTACAGGCCTCCAGGGCTGCTACCTCAGTGCCAGCAGAGCCACAATCAGGTCGTGGATAGTCGGCATCCAGGTTCCTCCCGGCATCAACATCACGTCAGCCCTCCCCTGCCACCTACTCGAACACCTGTCATCACAACCAACCCTCCTATGTCCCAGACCCCCTACTCTGTCAGCCGCCATAGCAACAGCAGCGGCTCTAATAGAGTTGCTATGGCTGCTTCCTTTGCAGTGGCCACATCTCCCCCTGCTGGCTGCTCTGTGAACAATGACAGTACTAGTAACCGCTGGCAAGGAGGAAGGGAGCCAGCCCCACAAACCCCTACCAGTGCCGTCACTAACTCCAAATCTCACAGGGATGCTCTGCAGCAGCCAGGCAATCATCGAGGCCCAGCTCCCACCGCAAACCAGTCTCACCAACACGGAGCTACCAAGTCCCAGCATATGAAGGGGAAGATGGCGTACTATGCTCAGGCTCAACTGGAAAAACCTCCATTTTCCTCCTCATCTTCTCTGTTCTCCTCAGGGCAAAACAGGGCAGGGGACAGTGTGATTACAAGCACAGTTTCAAGTCCGCTTTCCAACTCTCCAACTTACTGCCCAGTTTCTCACTCCACCGTCAGCTCTGCGCCTCAACCATCCAGCCCAGCCCTCCCCTCCAAACAGATGTTCTCTCATCCGCGAACTCCAACCTCTGTCCCTCAGTCCATTGAAGAGGCTCTCGACAAACTCGATGCTGAGCTAGAGGGACACATGCAAGCTGAGGAGAGGAGGAAGCTAGAGAGAGAGGAGCAAGAAAGAAAAAGAAGAGAAGAAGAGAGAGAAAAGAGGGAATGGGAAATGAGACAAAAACAGGAAGAGGAGAGGAAGAGGCTAGAGCTGGAAAAGAAGGAAGAGGAGAGGAAAAGAGAGCTGGAGAAGCAGGAGGAGGAGAACAGGAGAAGAGAACAAGAGAGGCAGGAGAGAAAGAAAGAAGAGGAGAGACGGAGAATAGAAGTGGAGCGACTGGAGAAAGAGAGGAAGAAGAGAGAGTGGGAGAAGCAAGAAGAGGAGAGGAAAAGGAGAGAATGGGAGAAGGAAAGGAAGAGGAGAGAGTGGGAGAAGAAAGAAGAGGAAAGGAAAAGGAGAGAGTGGGAGAAGCAGCAGGAAGAGGAGAAAAGGAGGAGGGAAGCAGAAAGGCACGAGCAGGAGAGAAAGAAAAGACAGCTGGAATGGGAGGAGGAAGAAAAGAAAAAACAAAAAGAGCTAGTGAGGAAAGAGGAAGAGAAAAAAAGGATGGAGAGAAACAGAGACGACAAACTGTGCAGCGCAAAAGGAAAAGAGCAGGCTGCTATCGAAAATCTAGAAAGGCTACTCTGTGAAAACACCTCCACGGTGCCCCCACCTCCTCCCCTCTCTTCTGTCACTGCATCTCCTTCAGGTCCATCTCCACCCAGTGCTCAGGCTTCTCCTCCATACCCCTGGCTAAGCCGTGGTGGTGTGCTCCCCTGCCAATCAGGCCAGACACCCGCCGTTGCCGCTATTGCCGCTCATGTCGAAAGGCTGCGGCCTCCTCCTCTTACACCTCAGACAGACTATGCCAGAGAAAAGCAAAGGCAGAGGGAGATGTGGAGTACCAATGGCGGAATGACATTCAGTCCTTCTTCAACAAACAATACCTCAGGGATGAACCAGCCGGTGTACCCCAACAAGCCCCCGGCGATGCAAACTGCACCCAGCCAATCCAAAGACCCAGCCAGGGAGAGAGACAGCAGCCAACACTCTCTCCCCACGGTGGCACTAAGAGAGCCGCCGAAACTGTATCACGCCTTTTCTAGAGAAAACCTCCCACCTCTGTCCTCCACCTCCACCGGGGGAATCCTCAACAAGCAGCTGACCAGAGGTGGTTTGGAAATCGCTGACTCTGACAGCGCTCAGTTTGAGGAGGAGTCCTCTGAGTCCACGCTGCTTCCCGACGGTCTGGCTAACATTATGGCCATGCTGGACGAATCCATCAAAAAGGAAGAGGAGATGTATAACAGTGAAAAGAATGGGCCCACAGGTCTCATTGGCACCTTTTCTCCCAGTGCTGAGCCCAACAAGAACTATCTTTGCGCCCCAGACTTGGTTCCAGCGACCAAACATCAGCCCAGTCATGAAGACCGATCCAACGCCAGTCCTCCTGTGCTCAGCCGCCAAGGCTCTCTGGCATCACCTTGCAGCCGAACATCTTCTCTCAACGAGGACGACGAGGACTATCTTAAACCTTCTCCAAATAATCCTAAACAGCCCGTGCACATGCCAGTGGGAATAGGGAACACCAATTACCGTCACAGTGACTTGGCTAAACTTTATGGTCTCCCTGAACAGATTAAAAGTGACGCTGATGAGGACGAAGATGAAGAGGATTCCGAGGCCCCATCTTGTTCTCCGCCACCCCAAAGACCCCACCTTCATCAGACGGGTGTTAATAGCATGTTCAAGTCTCTAGCAACTGTCCTAGAGAGCCAGAAGTATGCCTACCGTGGCGGGCCTTTTGGGAGACCTCCTCCATCAGCTCTGGTTGGGGTTAAGTATTCCTCTTCGCTGTCACTGGGCCCTGATATCTGCTGCCAGCAGCAAAGCAGTTCTCCCACATCAGACTCAACAAACCCACCATTCAGTCCTGCTCTCCCACCCATGAAGTCCTCTCCTCGTTCTCTACTGGAAGATAAGAAGCTGAAATTAGAGGACTCGGATGTCTGGACAGATGAAGGGGACTCAGAGGAAAGCTTCACCTTTATTAAAAAGAAACGCATTCCTACGATAAAGCCTATCAGGGTGATGAAGGAGGAGCAAGAGTTGACAACCATCTCTGAATCTTCTTTGGCAGAGTTGGGCAAGAGCTGTGAGGTCATGCTTAGCCGACAGTCACTCCATTACAAGAGCTCCTACAAAAAACATGACAGCCAAGGTCAAATGGGGAACAGACACAAACCCGAGAAAGTAAGGGAACACAGAGAGAAAGGCAGAAGCAGAGACAGACAGAGGGACAAAGAAAAGAAGAGAAAGCACGGTCACAGCAGCAGCAGAAAGCATGAAGATAGAAAAGAAAAGAAAAAGCATAGAGACAAGAAAGATTCTTCTTCATCCACCCATTCCAGTTCCAGCCACAAGCGGCACAAAGATGGCAAGAGCCATAAAGAGAAAGATCGCAGAATCCTAAGTGATCTCAATCTCCAGAGAAGGGAGGGCTCAGAGAAAACCTTTGGTCTCTATGAAACTGAAAAAAGGAAATGCAAGGAAGCATGCAGTACCAGCTCCACAAGCGAAGGCGAGCGTAGAGAATGGACGGGAGAAAGATCTTCTGAGCACAAAAAAGGCGAATCTGGGTCTTCGTTAGGTTCTACGGATTTAATGAAATTGAAGGCGTTGTCAGATGGACCACCAAAAGAGCTCAAGATTCGGCTGATCAAAGTGGAGAGCGGCGACAGGGAGACGTTCATTGCCTCAGAGGTGGAGGAAAAAAGGATTCCGCTGAAGGACATCAGCATCAAGAACACTGCGAGTGAGATTATCCGATCCTGCAAGTAAGTGCAAATTAAAAATTGATTTCATGTAATGTCTCACAAGTATTCAAATGAAGCTAAATTAACACGTAACCGTTTTGGAATGAACTGTTAGAGAAACGATTGGTGCCTTCATGTTAGCATCTGTCAACCTTTGCCTTTTTTTCCTGTTGTAGGGCAGCCAGACTCAAAGGGAAGTTTAAAGAATCCTACTTACTGCCAGCCTTCTCTGTGAAGCCCATCATAAGCAAAGAGGAACCAATTCCCAGGGAGAAACTCAACCCTCCTACACCCAGCATCTATGTACGTCACTATGTTTCTAACACAAACCTATTGAACACAAATTCTGTGGTGGCTTCACATGGGTTTTCCCAACATACAAAACAGCAACAGGAAACTCAGGAATTTCAGTGTTTTATCACTTAAATATAAACTGTTTAAAACAACACGAGATCTATAGACAACACACCAACAACACTCACGCTACCGAGCGATACCTGTGGTTTAATTATGCATAAAAAGAGATTTTGTAACGCGGTAATGTTCTTCTTTGCAGTTGGAAAGCAAGAGGGACGCCTTCTCCCCTGTCCTCCTGCAGTTCTGTACTGACGCCAAGAATCCTGTTACTGTCATCCGAGGACTAGCTGGATCTTTGCGACTCAGTAAGTTTACAGTGGCTTATGTGTAAACAAATATAATGAAACAACGTGCAAGTAGACTCTCCCAAATGTTATGAAGAAGAGAAACAGGATTTGGAAAACTTGTACCTAATTTTCTCATTACCTATTCAGACCTGGGGCTCTTTTCAACAAAATCCCTGGTGGAAGCCAATGCAGATCAGATGGTGGAGGTGAGGACTCAAGTGCAGCAACCTGCCGACGAGAACTGGGACCCTAGTGGCACGGGCCAGACGTGGCCCTGCGAGAGCAGCCGCTCCCACACCACCATCGCCAAGTACGCCCAGTACCAGGCCTCCAGCTTCCAGGAGTCTCTCCAGGTATTTTTTGATCCAGTGCTATTTACAGAAATTAAGATTGTTAGCTTTATATAGTAATCCTAAAGATTCAAATAGGTGGTGGAGCAAAAAATAAGTCCATTTTCTCGGTGACCATAACCAATATATGCTAATTACAGCCCTCGATATAATTGAATGTAAGCATAAAATATAACATTAATAAAGCAGTGGCTTTAGCCAGGCGCAGTTCAAACTTCAGTTCCAATAACTGTGGAAGCATCTAAAAGATAAAGAATAATTCTTTCATTTTGAGCTGAAGTTGAAGGAGCTCATGTTCTTTCTTTTTTTCCTGAGCTGTTAAGAGCATGTTTGAAACAACAGCTTGGAATATGATCCCAGAAAGGTTTAACAATGCAGCAAGAGTTAACTTGTCTGTCTTTTCAGGAGGAGAAAGGCAGTGATGAAGAGGAGGATGAAGACGATGAGAAGAAGCCACCCAGCAGTTCTGAGACTCCCAACAAAGACAGCTCTAAAGAAACTTGCAAGTAAGTGTACTTTTCTATAAAACTTTTAACCCAGCTTTTTTGGAGGCGCATCAGGGTTTTGTCACTTGTACTAAAGCTTCAATATCTTCTTCAGTGGTGAGCAGAAACCAGTTGGGAAAATCATTAAATTTGGCACCAACATTGATCTCTCTGATCCCAAGAGGTGAGTAGCCTAAAACAACTCTTTGTGTCTTTGTGCAGCTAATAATTGCCCATTACCTAAGAGGACGGCATTACAATCGTTTGTCTCTCTGCTCAGGTGGAAGCCTCAGCTTCAGGAGCTGCAGAAGCTTCCAGCATTTATGCGCGTGTCATCCAGCGGAAACATGCTGACCCATGTCGGACACACCATCTTGGGCATGAACAGCGTCCAGCTCTACATGAAGGTCCCAGGGAGCCGAACACCAGGTGAAGGAAACTATAGGCAACACAGCTTACTATCTAAATGAAGGTGTGATGGAGCTTCAATCACTATTAGCAAAAACATACAATGTTGTGTGTGCTTATTTGACAGGTCACCAGGAGAACAACAACTTTTGTTCAGTGAACATCAATATTGGCCCTGGAGACTGCGAGTGGTTCTGTGTCCATGACAACTACTGGCAGGCCATCAGTGACTTCTGTGAGAAGTGAGTAGCTGCAGAGTAACAGTGGATGTGCAGGAGTGTTGTGGTGAGGCTGGTTTACAGTTGGACACCTTCTACATGTCTGCCTTTAATGTCCTCAGGCACGGAGTGGACTACCTGACAGGGTCCTGGTGGCCAGTACTGGAGGACCTTTACAACGCCAACATCCCAGTCTACCGCTTCATCCAGCGGCCTGGAGACTTGGTGTGGATAAATGCTGGTACTGTTCACTGGGTTCAGGCTGTGGGCTGGTGCAACAATATTGCCTGGAATGTTGGACCCTTGAATGGTAAGAAGGGCACCATCTAGTGGCCAAATGCATATTCATTCAACTTTTTTTTTTTATGTAGCATTTCTTGTATTTTTCAATATTGTTTCATGTATATTTACAGGCTACCAGTATCAGCTGGCGCTCGAGAGGTTTGAGTGGAACGAAGTGAAGAAGGTGAAGTCCATTGTCCCCATGATTCATGTGTCCTGGAATGTGGCCCGCACTCTGAAGATCAGTGACCCAGACACCTACAAGATGATCAAGTGAGTACAGCTGGTTTTTATCGGTTTAGGCACTTGGTAGGTAAATCCACAGCAGCACCAACTAAAAATCTGTTTTAGCGAAAGCAGAAACTATTGCAATGATTTTTAAAGTGGCGACCCACAGAAAAACTGCCCGTGAATATTGATATTGATTGCAAATGTGGGTCTCTGCCTTCCTGTCAGACACTGCCTGATGCAGTCCATGAAGCACATCCAGATCCTGCGTGACCAGCTGGTGGCTGAAGGCAAAAAGATTTCCTATCAGAGTCGAGTCAAAGACGAGCCTGCCTACTACTGCAACGAGTGCGATGTGAGTAACCGTCAAACACAAACTTAAACAGACTTTCGTTGCTTTGTGGCTTCGGTAGTTATCTTCATCTTCATCATCTACAGACCTTTTTTAGGGGTGTTAGAGCGAGTTTGTTAGGGCACATAGAATGGCGACTGAGTTTACTGTCTTATCTTTACCAGTAAGCTTACAAGCTAGGAAAAATAAGACTTTTTAGTATCATCAAACTCTGAAGCTGTAGATTTGAAAGGTGGCTCCTGAAGTTTCTACCAGACGACTGATCAACTCAAAGTTTGACCCCTCTGCTGTTCTTTCCTGTCGCAGGTGGAGGTGTTCAATTTGTTGTTTGTGACGAGTGAGAACAACAGCAGGAAGTCGTACGTGGTTCACTGCGAGGACTGCGCACGCCACCGCAACCCGAGCCTGACCAACGTAGTTGTGCTGGAGCAGTACCGCATAGAGGAGCTCATGAGCGTATACGATTCCTTCACCCTGGTGAGACTTGACTTTTTAGTGCGTAATCGCAGTTCTTTCATGAACTAACTCGATCAAAGACTTTGACTTTTTAAATTTGTCAGTAATAGATCTATTTTTAATCTTGGTTTCTACGTCTCGTCTTTCCAGGCCTCCTCCTCCCGATGACAGAGCTCCCCACGTACATCTCCTCAGCCATAAACCAAAACTCCTGCGAGGCAGGACAAAGACAGTTTCACTTTGGTTTTCAACTCACCCATTCATTATTGTTTAGCATGATTCTTGCGACTACTGCTACTACTTGCCGAATAGCCAGTTGAATACGTTTACTCCTTACTTGTTTACAAAGAGAAAAAAAAAAACCAAGCCGCCAATAAGATACCAGTTTACTCTCAGATGGTGCTTTCAACGAGAACCCCTGGACTCTGTGGTGGTTAACGGGGGCAGTTGGTGCTGTCATTGAACAAACTGTGGAGGGTAGCTGATGGTTTCAACGGCGTGTTTCTGTCAGTACCGGAAAGAACTCTTCTCTTCTCTTGAATATTGAAATTTGTACATGCTGTTTTGAAATTTCTCGTGGGGTGCTGTCTTTTTAAAAAATAATTTATTGTTGTTTTGTTTTTTTTCTAAACTAGATCCGCCTAGATATATACCACATTGGCCTTGTATTTAGAAAAGAGAAAATGGAAAAATACTAATAGAGTTATGAACATTTTTCTAAAAGCATTAAGAATTTAAAAATTGTTTGGAATGCTTCAAAAGATACGGGTTATAGCAACTTTGGTTGTTTTTTGCGGGGGGTTGGGGGAGGGGCTCTTGTGTTTTTTTTAAACTTTACTTTTTTAAAAAGTTTGAATGTGTTGTAAATTTTGTTTCTATGAGTTCTAGCTTTTGTTTTCTCTGGAGATTAATATTCAGTTGTCACAGGTTGTCAGGTCTTGTTCATTTCTTCACTCTGTGTATGACCGCTCTCTTTAAAAAAAAAAGAAAAAGTCATTGTCCTCTGGTGTGTGTTTTGTTTGTTCCAATATGCAGACTTCGTATTTCCTGAACTTTTTTTTTTTTTTTTTGGCATTGTACATTTAATTTAAAATGTTTCCTCTATTTATTGGATATTGGCGTTTTCCCTTTTCTGATAGGGTTGTACAATTTTGCTATGTTTTATTCCCTTTGTTTTATGGTGACTGTTTGCTCTGTAAGAACTAAAACATGGAGGCTGTGTGGACGGAGTGGAGGCTACTGTTTCTCTGGTGCTCGCCTCTCGCCTCCTGTCTTTTCTCTCATGATATATATTAAATTATATCTTTATCTTTAATATAACACCACCTTTCCTGTAGACAATAGGCACACTGCTCACGTAGAGAAGATGACTAATGGAATGCTGTGTTTGTACGCTTATTAAAAAAGGAACAGAATGACTTTTTTTCCAAAGTGTTTTTGAGAAATGGTAATTTTTTTGAATATGTAGGGGGCTTTTAGATGAGATTTGAATGATTTTATGATATCTGTTGAATATGCTAACGGGATAGATGGTGCTAAATGTTCTCTCTGAACAATTTTTCTTTTTTTTGTCTTCTTAAAATGAGAATTCTATTTTTCCTGTTGCAATATTATCTTACACTTTCCTTCTCTTTGTGGTCATTCGTTTATAACTGCACTGTTTAGAGAATCCACACAGACATACTTGCAGACATACACACCAAACTGAGCCAGACATGTCTTAAACACTTGTGAATTTGTGACATTACTATGACTATTAATAAACGCTTTTTGATAAATTCAGACTGAGCACAATTTGTCTGAATTTGTTCACCTGTCATCTGACACCGGCGTCTTTCCTACACGCTCGGGACGCATTTTATAAAACTTGATGTAGAAGTGGAGAATGGTCAAAGGATGAACCCACTCATTTAGGTTCAGATGTGCTTTCTGCAATCCAAAATTAATCCACATACAATCAGTATAAATGATACGTTGCTTTGACAGCGTTAAGAGTTGGTCCAAAACAGACCAGATGTTCAACTGTTCCTGTCTAATACACTTTTCCAAAAAATTGAAAGAAACACTTTTGAATTAAACTTTTGGGATATTGATCTGGTGAGTTAAGCAGCAGTCAGTTAATGAGGTTGTTAAACAGTTTCAGCTGCTTTGCTGTTGAGATGAAATTAACCTCAGCTCCACTAGAGGGGCGACAATGACACAACCCTCATTTGGCTAGTGTCAGTGTCACCACTGGTCGCATGAGGTGATATCTGGACCCTACAGAGGTTGCACAGGTTTAATGCATCCAAGATGGTACATCAATGCGTGCCATTACAAGAAAGTTTGTTGTGTCTCACAGCACCTTCTAAAGAGCATGGAGGAAACTCCAGGAGGCAGCTAGTTACTCTAGCAGAGCTGGACGGGGCTATAGAAGGTCTTTAACGCATCAGCAGAACTGGTATCTGCTCCTTTGTGCAAGGAGGAACAGGATGAGCACTGCAAAGAAAGAAGTACATAATAACGCCAACAGGCCACTGGTGTAAATGTCTATGACCAAACAATCAAAAACAGACTTCATGAGAGTGGCCTGAGGCTCTGACAAATGTGTAAGACTGCTTTCTTCCATTTGTGCAACATCTCTAAAATTAAAAATATCCTGTCTCAGCTGAAAAACTAGTTCATGCATTTATTACTTCCAGGCTGGACTACTGTGATTCATTATTATCAGGAAGTCCTAAAAACTCCCTGAAAAGCCTTCAGCTAATCCAAAATGCTGCAGCAAGAGTCCTGACAGGGACTAGAAAGAGAGAGCATATTTCTCCTGTTTTGGCTTCCCTTCATTGGCTTCCTGTTAAATCCAGAATTGAATTCAAAATCCTGCTCCTCACATACAAGGTCTTAAATAATCAGGCCCCATCTTATCTTAATGACCTTGTAGTACCATATCACCCTATTAGAGCACTTCGCTCTCGCTCTGCAGGCCTACTTGTTGTTCCTAGAGTATTTAAAAGTAGAATGGGAGGCAGAGCCTTCAGTTTTCAGGCCCCTCTTCTGTGGAACCAGCTTCCAGTTTGGATTCGGGAGACAGACACTATCTCTACTTTCAAGATTAGGCTTAAAACTTTCCTTTTTGCTAAAGCATATAGTTAGGGCTGGACCAGGTGACCCTGAATCCTCCCTTAGTTATGCTGCAATAGACGTAGGCTGCCGGGGGATTCCCATGATGCATTGAGTTTTTCCTTTCCAGTCACCTTTCTCACTCACTATGTTTAACAGACCTCTCTGCATTGAATCATATCTGTTATTAACCTCTGTCTCTCTTCCACAGCATGTCTTTATCCTGTCTTCCTTCTCTCACCCCAACCGGTCGCAGCAGATGGCCCCGCCCCTCCCTGAGCCTGGTTCTGCCGGAGGTTTCTTCCTGTTAAAAGGGAGTTTTTCCTTCCCACTGTCGCCAAAGTGCTTGCTCATAGGGGGTCATATGATTGTTGGGTTTTTCTCTGTATCTATTATTGTACGATCTACTGTACAATATAAAGCGCCTTGAGGCGACTGTTGTTGTGATTTGGCTATATAAATAAAATTGAATTGAATTGAATTAGTGGGGCCCGTGCTCACTGTCACATATTCCAGAGAATACCAGAATTGGCAGGTCCACCACTGGAGCTCTGTGTATTTCAGAGATGAGAGCATTTTTAACCATGAGCACATGTGACAGACGTGAAAGGGTCTGGAGAACCCGTGGGAAACATTATGCTGCCTGTAACATCGTTCAGCATGACCAGTTGTGTGGTGGGTGAGTGATGATCTGGAGAGGCATGTCACAGACCTTTACAGGCTGGGCAACGGGGGCAACAGCTCCCTGACTGCCATTAGGGATCAGGATGAAATCCTTGGAGAGATTGGTCAGACCCTGTGCTGGTGCAGTGGGTCCTGGGTTTCTCCTAGTGCATGACAATATCTGGGCTCATGTGACAAGAGCATGCAGGCAGTTCCTGGAGGATGCATTACATTCAAACTACTGAGTATTATTTTGAGTTGCTGTGATGAAATTTCTGCAGAATGAACTGACCTGACAGAGATTGTTGGGTGTCTTTAAATTCATCCTTCTGTAGCTTGATCATTTACATTTCAGTTCAATGCAAGTCAGTTTTATTTATACAGCACCAAGTCACAACAACAGTCGCCTCAAGGCGCTTTATATTGTAAGGTAGACCCTGCAATAACACATACAGAGAAAAAAAATCATATGACCCCCTATGAGCAAGCACTTTGGCACAGTGGGAAGGAAAAACTCCCTTTTAACAGGAAGAAACCTCCGGCAGAACCAGGCTCAGGGAGGGGCGGGGCCATCTGCTGCGACCGGTTGGGGTGAGAGAAGGAAGACAGGAAAAAAGACATGACAAGCCATTTCCATCAAACTATGTGATATCACTGTCGCCAACTCAGAAGGTCCTATGTTTGGTTCCTGCTTTCCGAAACCTGACACCTAACTCATTATTCGGTCCATATCAGAACAGATATTCAGCATGATTCTTTTTTACCCCACTGAGATCTCAATTGTTTTCCAAGTCTTCCTTAAATTGTTTTTGAACTGTATTTATTTATTTATTTCACTCTAAGCACCACTTGTTGTTAATTCTTATAATAATCGAGTGCTCGAATGCAAATGTTTCTCAATAATACCACTGAAGGAAGCTGCGCAGTGAAGTTAAAGCAGCACAAACTTGGGAATGTGTTGGTGATGCATTAAAGTATATCTTATAGATCCTAGTTAGTCGGTTCTACACTGCTGGACCTGCAGCTAACACAGTTAGGAGTTTTTAGGTTTTTAGGTTTGCTACTTTGTATCAACACTGGTCAAAAAATCCACTGAAACATATTTATTACCTCAAAATAAAAAAAATGTAAATATATATTACCTTTTCTATATTTGATTTGAAACACAGAGCTCTCTGTGACACAATTTGCCGAAAAATCAATCGCCACATAAATCCTGTCAAAGCCTTCATTAATGTGAGCGCACACATGGAGGAGCAAGACACACTTTTTTGTGTTAGCTGTGTCCAGCTTGTTTCAAAGTATTCATTAGCTGCACCTCTGAATACAACAGCTTGAACCTCTCTGATGATCCGTCTGCGCTAACCATCTTCTTGCGCCTCTCTTCTTATTTATAGCACACATTCAGCCACCTCACCGCTCTAAAATATGTCACAACCCTCCTTCAAACCATTTAAAAACAGTCATATCCTTTGGCTGTGACATATGTTTGGCGCAGCTTTGTTATTCACGTCCTCACCTCGGGCTTGCTATTGTTAGACAAGCGTGTGAAAAAATACGGCTAGAGTAATCTAAAAGTTTCCAGTTGGACATCAGAACCCAGGATAAACTAAGGAAGGAGATTGCACAAGCAGAAAAACCTAAGAGATAGCAGAGCAGGAAACAGCACAAAGCAATAACAGACCTGCCAGGCTTTCCTCACAGATTATACGACAACAAGTCACACAGAGAACGCATTCAAGTTTGCTTTAGATTGCTCTTTGTTTACACCACCACAGCCACCAATGAGCACTAGTGCAAAAAGGTAGTATGTCAATGCTTCAAGTAACTTCTAGTCAGACAAGTCCTGGTAAGACGCATAAGCTATGTGGTTTATAAGAATCTATCTGTTCAGATGGTGATTTATTCTGGTCAAAGTCACACCTCAGGTTTAGTGTGATGAGCAGCAGTAGCAGCAGTCCGATAATAAACAGATGTAAGATGTTGCAAGAAACATGAAGAATGGGAGATTACACTGATAGAAAGCAGTGAGGTAAGACAGCAACATCCCAAGAGACCCACAAAGGCTGTAATCAGTGAAATGATAAAAGATCAGAGCATAAGCAAAATAATTAGTGTTGTCTGATCCTGATTTTCCAGCCCTTTTCCTCTGCTTTGAGCTTGCACTGTTTATTTACTTAAAGCCCTTCTTTGGCCTCTTTATTATCCCCAGTTACCCAATAAACCTGAAGACATCAATGGGACAGCTATACGTGGTATGTAGAACTAGAGGTGACCTTTCTGCTTAATGTAGCAGAAACGTATAAGCCTTTATGCTACAGTAGAAATGTCACTACTTCAGATCTTGGTTGTTTTTTGTATGATCTCGACATTACAGATGAAATAGTTACTTCACAGCCTTTGCTCTCATGCTCAGTAAGAGCAGCGTAAACAAACATCAAAGTTTGATCGTCCTGATTACGCCGCTTGCTAGTGATTGCATAGCTGAAGTATTTTTTTCTTGGCTGAGACGAGAGCGTTGGCTCTCTTATCGCCACCTGACTGCAGCGGGGTGGACAGATAGACAGACGGAGGTGGTCTTCCTGTGTGTTTTCAAGCAGGATTTCCTTCAGCCTGTCCTCCTGCTGGCCCCATGGCCTCTAGCTTAACCCGAGGACATGGTGACCTGCCAACGTTCTGTCACTGCGCACGGGAGTTTTATACCATAGAGGGTGTTTTTAGCATTTAGAAAAAAACATTTGTCATAATATAAGTGTGTAATTTTACTTTTTAATAATCTTTAGTAATTATTTCTGTTATCTAAGGACAAAAGCTATACATGTGACTTCAAGACGATTACACAAAAAACCCACGAACCATCTATATTTATATTAAATCTATTAGTGCTTAAATTCTTTAATTTTATACTTTATCAGGTACCTGGCTGATTTGAACCCAACAGCACAGACAGAACTATTGCTGGATATTGATCAGGTCTTCAAAGCTGCAGACAGCTTTGTCGAGCCCTGACAACAGGATGTGTTAAGAGCAACAACGTGACGCAGTATTTAAAGACAATGTGTTTTAAGCGGACGGCGCAGGTCAAATCAGTGTTTCCTCTACTTAAAAATCTTTTTAGCTAATCTAAAAGTCATTTCTATGAAGACCTACTAAACATAAATGCAACTTCGGTATTTGTTTTTATTTTACAGAGAAAACTGAACTATGTTGTAACACTGCACCATGTAAAATGTAGCGGATCAGTGTAGTCAGTATATTTAAGGAACAGGGGCATGAACTACGTAACAAAAAACATGTATTAAACATTACTGCACTAAAAACGACACACACATATGTTTTTATATCTTTGTGGGGACATCTAATTGACTAGCCGCTTACCCTAACCATCAACAATGACTCCCTAACCCTAATCCTAACCCTCAGACCAAACCTAACCATAACCTAATTGTATCCCTGACACTAAAACCACATTTTGAGTCTCAAAAATGCCTTCAAACTTTCCGGGACTGAGAGTTTGGTCCCCATAAGGGCTGTTGGTCCCCACAAGTGTAGTAAACTTTTGATTTTGATCCCCACAAAGACATATAAACACACACACACACACATGGTCAAGCTAAATCTAGATGTATGAAATTTGCTTCAGCTCTCACTAAACGTAGTGATTCTCTGTGCATGTAGCACAAAGAGGGCGCTATCGTGGACTCAAACCAACTTTTCATGCACGCACGGCAATGCCACACACTGGTGTCACAGACTACCTCTAAGACCCACAGAGGTCCAAATCACACCTTCATGATTTATAATAACAACGGATTATAAAAAGGATTGAAAGTCAGCATTTCAGCACAAACGCCTCACACCAACTGTCAAGCACGGAGGTGGAGGGGTGATGATGGGGGCTTGTTTTGCATCCGCAGGACCTGGGCATCTCACAGTCACTGAGTCAACCATGAACTCCTCTGTATATAAAGTATTCTAGAGTCAACGTGAGACCATCTGTCTGACAGCTAAAGCTTGGCCCAGACTGGACACTGCAGCAGCCACGTCAAAGTCAACCTGACTGAAATGCTGCGTTGACACCTTAAGAGAGCTGTGTATGTCAGATGGCATCATCTGCCTCTTATCAACTCCAGCTGAGTTTATCATCCTGTACGTTTAAATCACTGGTTAACATTTTCTAAAGCAGTTTTTGGACTCTGTAATACAAATAAACATGATAAAAAGAATGTGCTCGGCTCCGTGGTACCTCCACCTTTAAGACAAACCAAGTCTGCTTCTACTGCCCTTCCCCCCCTTTTTTCTGCTTTCCTGCACCTCAACTTATCAGGTCAGCCGCCTCATTCTGACCCCTAACACACAACACCCAGCCCCCATTGCAACAGGGAGAGGGTGAAGGGGTGTAGCATGTCCTGGATAAGAGAGGTGGAATGTGTGCAGTGAGAGGAGTTGCAGGAGAAAAGCAGGGGGGGTTTGATAAGTTTGATGGGTGGGGAGAAAGTGGGATGGATGCAGGGAGTGCAGGAGGAGGGGAGATACAGCACTCTGGACTCAATCAGATGGGGGGTAAAAAGAGGAGGGCAGAGACAGAAGTTTGACATACCGAAGACAAAGACCACAGCAACTGGAAGCTTCGGTTATTTCCACCATCATCTCTGCACCACTTCGTCCACAGCAACAATTTGATCGGTGGATCGGAGAAGACGACAGAAGATTTAGGACGCAATCTTTTCCACTGACATCTCAGGATATCTGACGGAAACCAAAAGCAAAGCTGCAGGACACCAATTTATCACCTAAAGAGATAAGGCTTCAAAGGGGAACCTCCAAGAAGATCTCAAAGCCTGTTTTAACTTCACTCTGGAGAACTGGAAAAGAACAGCTGAAGGAATAAAAGCAGAACGAAAGAGCTTCATTAAAGTGTGCAGGGAGTGCACGAGTGTGGCTGACAGACTGGTCACAAGTCTTCTGCAGAAGAAGTGAGAAAAGCAGCAAAAATCTGGAGGAGGAACAGCAAGAGGTCCACCGGGCCCCACAGCACAACGTGAGTACGACCTCAAACCATGAAATCATATTAACACTGAACAGCTGAGATATAAGTTACTACACTGAAGCTAAAACACTGTTTACATCTATTGAGTGATGTTCAACAGAACGTAATGAGTATAAGAGACAAACAAGTATTATTGCAGCTATTTTGTTCCAGATAATAGAAAAGAAAGAAAAAACAACAGAAAATCTCCCTGAATCAATGAAGCATGACAGCACTGAGACCTAGCTTATCCACAATATAGCGCTACACATTATGACACAAAAATAAACTCAAAAAGAAAACAAAAGATCCTCATACAGTAGCTTCATTAACCTCGCTGCTCAGTTTTCCATATTTGAGCTAAACGAAATAAGCTATTTAGTTACGACACAACACGTTACTCCACGAAAAGTAAGAGCAGTGAGTAAAATGGGCGGAGTCCTTAAATGTATTTTCAGTAAGCTGCACAATGAGTCACCTCACACACACACACACGCATGTGCGCATACACACTTTCCTGCCAGTCCTTCCTCTATGACCTTCCACCTTACAAAAACACTTGGGATAACAATGGGACACAGGCGTGGAAAAATTAACACTAAAGCACCCAGGACAGCATCGCGAAAGCCCCGGATCTGCTGTACCTGCTGAGATCCAGCGAGTCCAACGTTAGCCGATATATTTTGAAGGTTACTTTTTGTTCGACTTGAGCTTTAAGTGCGCACAGCGTGCACACACGGCCATCTTACCTGACCTTTCTGACTTTACACGATTAAACGGCCTCACCCGTTTTTGTTTGTACAAAAAGCTGCTGTTGTGCACGCAACTTCCATCTTGCCATCACAATGAACCACTCATTACACACATCACACCACCGCCAGCACAGGCATAGTCCTCCACTGGTTCCTGCACAGGACAGATTCTAATGTGCTCAATTTTTGTCCACACAGCATTCCCGTACGGCATAAATATGAATCTGTGACTCGTTCAAGTCAAAGAAAAGATGGCCTTCCTATCAGTGTGTGGCAACGCTTTTAAAAATAAAAGGATGACAGGTTGAGTAGGTCTTTCCTGTTGGGATTTTTCCGGCACTGAAGCTTTTTCTGGCAGCTTGCACAGCCGTGGTACTCTCACGTCCTCTCTCCAACATGGCCATCGCTGTCTCCTGACCTCAGAGAAGTGAGGATATCCTGCAGCAGACGCAGCTGCGTACCCCATAAAATCTGCCCTAGCGCAAAAAGAATGCAACGTCCTGGTGTAAGATCTCTTAAATATCAACCCGATTTTTTGTTATATAAAATTGCCATAACTTATTCTTAATATTTCATGCTCACGAGGCCATTATTTACAAAAGTTAAATGACTCTATACACTTTATGAAACATTTGATTTCCATAAAATGCCTAACATCTTGCAATAATGGCACCTTGGCCATTAATAATATTGCAGGAAAATGGATGGATGGATGATTTTAAGGTTTTTTTGTTTTAATTAACCAAAATATTTAACCCCGTCCCCTGCAATATTGTGAATATGCTAGACTATTGTTTTAAAAGACAGATAGGTTGAACATAACATTACCCCAACATATTTACATTAGTACACCGCATCGTTTTTATGTCATTCCATATTGTTATTACATTTTGTGTTGGGAGAATTATTCAATTCACTTCAACACAATTTATATACAAGTCAACCAAAAGTAATATATCCAAACCTGTGACCAACTCCTTTTAAACTGTCGTTTCTTTATTGATCTCTTCCCATGTCAAAAAATTGCTAAATCCCGAGAAAACGCGACCATTATTTTAACACAAAGTAAGCGAATAATTCGTTGTAGTAGCAAAGTCATGGGTATTATTGAGCTGGTGCTTCACTGAGCTACAGTGAAAATTCTAAGGGTTCGATTTGTAACGGTGGACTGTTTTACTAGTACAAGATATATCTGTGATCAACAACCAGCCTGAGGAGTTAAACCTTTTTCTTTAGTAGCATCGGTGCTTGCAGAGGCACAACACACAACACCACATAGCCACAGTTACATGTGCAAACAACACCCACATGTACAAACTTAGCCTTGATCTCTCCACTTCACAAACTACATATAACAATTATGGGGCCTTTTCCTTTTGGCCAATCAGCTCGCTGATAATCATCACCTCACAGATGGCATCACACGAGGCTTCCTAGCTTCCTGACAGAAAAAGCATGTAACCTCTTAGTGAACCCACAACCACTAACTCAGTGGTTTTTGTCACTTTGACACCTGACTGCTCACACAGTCTCCAACCACCAACACATTGGCCACACATACAACACCTTCAAAACACCTGCAATGATGTGCACAATCTCCTCATCCTTGATGTTGATTCAGACCAAGTTTCGATTTCTTTTTCTTCACACAGTTCGTTATGAGTATGGCCGGTACTCTCGAGAGGGGGGCACACCATCAGGCCTTGGACTTGTCTGAGGAACTGCCACCTCACCACCACCACCACCACACCAACCACCACCACCAGCAGCAGCATCTTCACCATTCCAACTCCCTGGCATCCACCGCGGCTGTGGGCGGAGGGAGAGAAACACCTTCACGTGTGGTTGTGCCTCCTCCTTATTCTGCAGCTGAGAGTGGCGGCGGGGGAAGCGAGGCTCCTCTGGAGCTGCGGGGATCTCTCGACTGCTGGGCCTGCTCGGTGCTGGTGACCGCTCAGAACGTGCTGATCGCCGCAATCAACGCGTGCCTCGCTGGACTGGTGTTCGGGATCATCCTGACACCAGCCATCGTCATGGTTGTGTTTGGCTTCCTCTGTCACTCTACAGTAAGAGAAAGGAAAACGGGGAGCGAATGAAGGGGAACATGTGAAAACTGTGTGAACTCTTTGTGCTCTTCTTCTGCACCGCGGCATTCAGGCGCAATTTAAACTCGATTAGCACATCTGCATGCATCCTCCGACGCATTTCATAATAATTCATAGAGCTATTTGCTCTCAAAAATCATGCATCGCAGACATTTGAAACCACCGGAGTATGTAAGGAGAGATGCTGAGTGGAGATGATTGCATCAATCTTTTTATGAAATGTCTACAAGTCCTAATCTTGTAACTTTTATCCACAAGTTTGAAATAGTTGTGCTTGGGGCTTGGGGAGTGCTTTGGCTTTTATCATCGATGAGAGGTTTTATAATCTGATAAGTCTCAGATTCTTTTAGATGTTGAGGAGAAACAACTGGACTGGGCAAGTGGCCAGGAGTAGGATAGGCATTAGAGCACAAACCTTTAAAGAATGTCTGCTTTAGGGATTAAAATACACTTTTTAACATATGATTGTGAAAGCATAATATCGGAAAAACATAAATATTAAAAACTAAACAAACGGTTAATACACAGAATTGCATGTGAGGAAAAACTATCTTTGAAAAGCACATACAGCTAAAACCAAGCTGCTCACTTAACATCGTATGCAGAAGCATCACCTGGACTAAACCAAAAAGTCATGGTGGATCAGAGGCTTTCACACATACCAATGGCACTTGTGTAGGCCTCCTTAATAACCAGAGGGACCAGGATTCTCTCATGTTCTCTCACAGTAAGACCTCATGTGACACCAGCTTAGAAAAGGATTAACCAGGATCTGGGAGGGTGAAGAAAGGAGAAAATTCGGGAGAAATAAAAAGGGCAGAAGAAAAAAAACATATAAAGAAAGTAAGTTGGATCCAAGTATTTAAGAAAACACAACCACACATGCAATATATATACAACTTTTTGCAAAAAAGAAACAAGTGCATTCCTTTCCCAGTACACCCTGCCTCAGATCTGGAGGCATTCGGGAGCTCTCACGATTTTAAAACAAACACGGGCATACTTGTCCGAGTCTTATCTTCTACGACTCCTATTCTAAACGCTTCCTCCGTTAACTCGCACTATATTATATTTTTATGCAGAATGTTCGTTGTTTTTATTTTTAAAGTAAGATTAAATCAGCTATACGGCTTTAAGACTGCACGACTTTAATCATTTAAAAGAACAATATAGAAGACCTTATTTCAAATTCCAGTGGATTCTGGTGCACAACTCTTGCCTTGCTTTGCCCTTTTTGCAACTCTACAGACAAAGGTTGACAGAGGTTTGAGTTTAGTGTTTTCCATGTCATTCTTACTTTCTTGCAGCCTGCACTTTGCTCGTGCATTCATATGCTCACTTCACAGGCTTATAGGGATAATTCAGACATACCGCCTCTCCTCCTCTTCCACATTCATATCTTGAACCCATCACCTTTCCTTCCACTCCCACTGTGCTATTGCACATACTTTGACATAGAGCATCAATCCAGCTCACAGTAGCTTCAACCAACGTCTTTTTAGTTCCATTAATTTTTCTCAGACATGCATATGTTTATGTGTGTGCGAGAGAATGAGAGTGTTATATCTCAGACTACCAACTGGTGTCTGTCCTCACCTCATACACACATACCGCATACAGTACGTCATCCTCTGGATTGTGATGGCGGCCGGCAGATCAGCCAAGGTTTTCGTGTGAGCGACTATGTGGGAGCGGAGCCTTCTTAAAAAATGTAAAGTTGCAAAATAAAGGTTTAAAAAGATGACTGACTGAAAACACTAAAGTTTCCCATGTGGTCTGCAGGTGCGCCCCCATGGAACTACACCCTACTGCTCAGACCTACTGACCGATGGAGGCTGTGTGGCTTTGCTGGTGGTGGGCTTCCTCTTGGTCACCCCTCTGCTAGTCCTGGCGCTGGCTGCATACTGTCGTCTGGCCCGACACCTCCAGCTGGGCCTGTGTTTCATTCCATACAGCCGGGCCGTGTACAAGAACCTCCCGGCCACCCAGCATCGTGGCCTGGGCACGGGCTGCTGCGGGGGTCGAGATGCTGCTGATGGCGGTGGAAAGGGGAAGGTCTGGGTGTGAGATGACTATGGGCTTGGTAAAGGGGAAAAGAAAACGGGGTGAGAAAAGACCTTTAGATTAAGTAAAGGGGCACGAACAAAAAAAGAAGGGTTAAGAAAAGGCAGCAGATGTCAGGAAAATTGAGATATGTGAACTATAATTATCTTGTAACTTTCTAGTTACAATATTGCCTCAGCATTATGGAAAAAAACGAATCCATACAAAGCATTTGTTTTAGTTTCAAATGAAACTAAAACAAATGCAAATTCCACTTTGTTAAATAACACGGTCTCAATAAGAGAGCCTGTTCAAGTCAATAAATTACAGCCGAGACAAAAAGACACTTACATGATGGTCTGGTTTATTTTTATGTGTTTTTAAGTGATTGAGAGGAAACTGGACATCTGAAAAACATCAAATCCCACAAAGGTTGTACTGACACTTCACAGCTGTATCCTGTCACATTTATGTTATAATGAGAAACATTTATATGTCTAGTGTAGTTTTCTTTTTAGCTGTTGCAAACTGTAACTGCATTCTCTTGCATGTTTTGTTTCCTTTTTTAAAATAAATAAAGCTACGAGAGTTAGCTGGTGTGGTCTGCCCTTTTATTAGCGCGAGTTTACAGAGTTCAAAAGCAGTTTAAACAGGAGCGGTCCATTTATCCATCAGAGCGACTGTCAGAGCCGACTGGAGTAACAACAACTGTTTTAGGGGAACGATGAAATCCACCAACGTTAGCCTTTTTGACTGTTGTCAGCCAATAAACAAATAAGATGTGTTGTTTGTTAGGCGTTATTAGAAATCATAGCTGTTACAAGTTTCAAAATACAACAGACAGCTAAGCGTGTGACGTATTGTGATAAACAGACGATGTTACATATCATAACAAACTGTCTAGCCCCATTCTTGTTGAATTGCAAACTTTAATCATGTGTTGGATTAATCAGGGTCAAATTCAAGCACTTTTTAAGGACTTTACCAAACAAACAAACAAGAATGCATGTTTCACTTTGCATCACCTCAGTAAGACTGTGTGAAAATTACAACAGATCAGCTTAGGTTGAGTTAAATGTCCTTTGTTCCCCTTTCACTAAAAAGAGAAAAACACACCACACAAAAATACTGCAAAAGGAAAAGGCTGCCTTATATGCATATAGTGTCGAAACTCAAAAGGCACATCTCACTTAAAAATTAAGATGTACAAATGTGTTCAAATCAAATCTCCTGTTCAAAACAAAACGAGAAAACTGCACCAAACATCAAAATCAAACCAAAATAATACACAGCAAGGCCAAACTAATAAGTCTTCTCACCAGATATTGATGCTTCTTTCCAAAGTGACGCAAAAAGTAGGAGACAGATGTTTTTTTTGTTTTACTACATTCCTGTAATATTATTGTTGAAGTCCTAAATGATCAACTTTAAAGTGTTTGTGCACCGCGTACAGTAAGACAGGCATGGAGAACAGCACTGACTGGGAGGCTTTGAACAGATGACACACTCAGTTCAAATCAACATATAAGACTTTAAGAATGCACAAGCATCTACCTAAAATCTATTTATTTAATCTATCATCTTTGATATTTTTAGGTACAATTGTAATGTATTTTTTCATCTCCGTTAAATAAACAGGCAGCCTTAAAGTATGAAATATTGATATACAAAAACATAAATTTGTTTACTGTCACAGTGGCTGATAGTTAAACACAGGCCTCAGTGCGAGCTTGAAGCCATTATAATAATGTTTAAGTTGTTTAATGTGTAGGTGCTCACGATAAACAGATTTTGAATGAAAGCCGGGGAACTTCGGTAGCACAAAAACTGTCAATTCTTTGTGCACATATGGATCAGTCCCTCTTATTACCATGATTGCCCCTTAAGGTGTTTCCAAAGGCACCGTAATGCCAGTCATAGACAAAAATATAAACAGTATTCTATTTAGTTGGCGATAACTTTGCTTTTAGTCTTTAATCAGAAAGCCTTAAGTTGGCTAGTTAAGTATCGGGCTAACGTTTAAAGCTTTCACTTGAGTGAAGTCACATTACTGTTACTGCTAAGTAATGTTAGCTAATTTCACAGCATTTCATACATCACCTCGCCATAACGGCTATAATAACGCTGCCATATTGCATCATACTCAGTGCATTTCAATAATCATAGCAAAACAATTATTTGAAAAAATTAGCATGTGTAACGTACACACACTGGAAAATTATGTACTAGGGCTTACGCAAAGTGCCCCCTGTGAAAAGGTGCAAATCCTTCTTGCAGACCTTTCAGGTGGATTTGTTCCTTGTGTTATCCATACTTTGTATTTGTTGTTTTTCAGCAAACACTTATTAAAACAGCAACCTCCAGGAATGTGGGCAAAGTCTACGCTGACTGTAGACAGGTTACGTCTTTTCATTGGCCCGGAGTCTACGGTGAGCGTAGACACTGTAGACTCGGGCCAATAGGAGCGCCGACTCCCACTGCAGACGACCAATCGTCTGCTCGACGGAAGTTGCGTCACCAAAACAACAACACGCAGCGGAACAGCGAAGAAGCCGGCAAGTCCGCTGTTTTTTATGGAAACTGGCATTTCTTTTATGTTTACGCTAATTTATCGACTCTGGATTTAGCGGAAATTACACGATAGCGCATTTAAGCCTTTTTCTTTGTGGTAAATGTTAGCCGCGCGCTAGCCGACATCTAATGTATTACGCCCATTTCTAGTCTTTTCAGTGGCTACAACTGATGATGGCGACATTAGCAAGTCATGTTGTAAATCCAGATGCCCATGCACCTCGTCAGCAGGCCTGGTGAGAAGTATGGTCTTCACCAAACCTGCACACAGCAGCTGCTCAGCCTTCACTCACGCACAGAGGGTATCCACGCGCCTTCAAGTCAACACGATGCTTTCCGTGGCTCGTTACAAACGATCTGGGATATATGAAGTAGTACGTGTATTTAATATCATACTAGGCAGATTTACCGCACTGCCATTTACTACACATTTACCCGTGTTTGGCTATTGTCAGTACATGCACAATGATATTGTTGATGGTAACGTGTATGATTCCAGCCTACCTGATGGGCACTTTTGACTTTTTGTAGTTCAGCTCACTGATTGACTATCCTGCAGTGCTGTTTTCCTGTATTCCTGTTTCATCCACTTTAATAAAGTGTCCTGTGTTACAGTAACAGTGAGTTGTGGATTTACTTAATGAATGCCCAAGTTGGGCTTTAATCTGTCTTAGACATGTAGACACAACTATGTAGAAACACATAACAGACCTGAACCAAAGAAGCAATGTGTACAAGCAGGCAAAGACAAGTTTTGGAAGTATTTGTACAACACATGCCTCCGCAACAACTTCAGTGTTTCCTGGAATTGATTAGGAAACACTAACAGAGCTATTATCTGTTATGTGAGTCAAATTTCCCCAGATAGTCTTGGTTGACATCAGGTGACTGTGAAAGCCATGGTGTATGATCGCGCCATTTTCATAATCAACTATTCAGTCTATTTGTCAAAGGACAAACATAATCTCTCATAGCAAGTTTCTAATGATTTTACAACTCTTACCTTTGACAAGTGAACCCTAACATGGCAGCAAAGTGCAACAATGTCTCTCTGTGTAGGGATCAGGAGTTCAGGGCATGCCTTTAATTTCTTGCCTGTCTGTAAATGACAGTGTCATGGCATGAATAATCCTTCAGATTTTACCAGTTGAAAAGTAAAACAATTACATTGTCAGAAGAACCTAAAAGACTTTGCACATACTAATCACAGAAGAAAAGAAAGGAATTGATTTTCAATTGCTCTTAATTTCAGGGCACTTTCCAACCTGTTGGTTCAAAAGAGCCAAAAGAAAATCCTCATCGATGTTGGAGTAAAAACTAGATGCTTTTATTGGAATATACACTGATAATGCTTACTGTCCTGTCATTGTAAACCAGTCAAAATACATAAATAACACATTGTGATCATGCTGAAGACCACAGACAGCAGTCCAAGCGTCAGGCGGGATAAAGGAGCTGAAAACATCACCTGATAAAGAAAAATCAGACAACAGACTGAATGAATAAAAGAAGGCTTCTTCATTGCACATTTTTCACCAATCACAAGCCTCTTCTCTCACTCTAGACTTTTGACCAATCACCGATCAGGATGAATTGCACTACTGTACTGTCCATCCGACTGTTCGGCAGACAGACATGCTGAGGAGCAAGGCAAAATTTTGCTTTTAGACTTCGGGACTCATTTTATTTCTCCATCTGAAGAAAACTATTCAAGCAGATAGTTATTTGTGGTGAATGAAATACAGTTACAGTTTCAAGAGGTTTTAAGCACTACACGCGAAATCCAAGCACTCTTCATAGATTTCAAATACCAGTATGCACCCCGATTAACGCTGTATTTGTTGAATGAGAAAAAGAGTAGGACTGAAACTTTCTTTTCACATGTTATTAGGGGAAAGCGCGTACGCAGTCCCCACTACCATAAATTGTGCAGTTGAGATTCCCACATTTGAGGAATTCACAGAGGTCAGAATTGCCTTTGTGCAATGGCAAAGCCTCGCTCTGGATGAACCACCTTTGTGATCATGGTATCATCCCTGCCAGGTAAGTATGAGTGGGAGACAGCCGGGCGAGGGGTGGGTTTCAGCCGCATACGAGTCAGCCTGACGGTTTTACGGAAATAAGCAGCAACACAATGTTTAGTGGAACACGATCATAATTTGAAATCTAACTCGTTCACCAAATGATTAATGCTATTTTATTGACATGTAATAGTTAATTTGAAAGTTAAATAGGCTGAGATTTTCCCATAATGCTTTGCCGCAATGTATGGGTTCGACGTCGCAGCTTACTTCCGGTCAGCGAGCGTTTTATTTTTTTTTTAAGTTTTACAAATCATTATACAATGACAATGACTAGGGAGTCATTTATGTAATATATTCTGCAAGCGTCCAAAATGATAAGACTAACGTGATAAGTGAGGCTTTCCTTTTTAACTGTGGTTTCATTCAGCCAAATTGACCTGGTGTCTATTAACAGGTGTTTCCCCAGCTTTGCTCACAAAAGATTAATAAAACTGGAGTAAAATGTTAAGAAAAAAATAAGTACACTGTAAAACAAGTCCATATGGGACAAAACATGCGTCGACATTCGTCTATTTTACGAATAAACTGCTCCAGCAATGTCACGCTAGCGTGGCTGTAAGAGTACTGTGAGTTTTGGCGCCATCTAGTGGACCACCGAACAGAGCGACATGCTAACCCTGACCAGGGGCGGGAGCATGTGCAGTAGGCCAGCTGCTATGAGCCCAGTGAACACACGGCTATTTTGCATAAACGCAAATATTGAATAAAAGTCATCTGGCGTTTAAACAAGAACTTGTTTGGTGAAGTTAAGCTATCAACTTGCACAGTTTTAGCTGCCATAAACGATCCCATACTCGCATACATTACAGTGTAAAGAAAACAGTATAAACGGCTACTCATTAGCAGAGGAGACCTACATTATCCGACACCTGGTGATGCACAAGCTTACCAGCCTGTTAACTTAATTAGTACCCTGAAAGAAAAGTTCAGTTACAGCAGGGGTTATTAATGATTTATTAATCATTGGCTTACCCATGGACTGGCGCGACACCACCGAGTTTAAGGCCTCAAAAGCGAGATTTTCAACACTCATCTGAGGAAAGCTGAAGGTGCCATTGAAGATGACGGATGGGCTATTTTCATACAGGAAAACTTTCTCCATAAAATACGCGACGTGTTCCAGGATAAACAGACTGCTGAGTAAATAACATTTAGAGAACGATGTCTGTCTCAAACGCACGTTTAAAAAAGTCATTAATTGTCTAATATTTGCTTATATCAGTAAAAGCCCGTGGAGCCTGTAAAAAGAAAGAAATGTCCTGTTTTGCAAGTATTTTTATGACATGTCAGCTTGTGGCTTTATACGAGGTATCCCAGGTATTTCACTTCTTGTGCCCAAGCACACATTTGGAGTCAAACCAGCCACAGTCACAGTGCTGCTCCACGTTTTGCTCTCTGATTGCTGGCTGCATGTTTAGCCAGGTGATTACCTGTTAAGCCTCTCTGACGGTGGGAGGTCGAGAGCAGATAGAGCAGAGTATACCAGAGTGAAGCCATTCACAACACAAGAGGAACACCGCTAAAAGAGGACACGATCTCTTATTGCTCATACTAACTGGACACAGAGGTAAGGTAAGCAATGTGCAGTAGAAAAAACAAGATCAAGTACTAACAGTGATAGAAAACACTGTTTCTTTTTATCTTTAAGCATTCCTAAAACTGTTAATTTTCACATTTCCAAACAATAATAATGGATTGCATTCATATCAGCGCATATTCACTAATATGTTTAATTGAAGTACAGAGTGCACTTATTGTGGCATGTGTGTCTCTGTTTATCCACAGCATGTCCAAAGCAGGAGAGCGGACCCCTTCAACAACTTCCGCTGACTCAGCCTCAGCAGATGGGTAACTTGAGATCGTCTTTGTGTATCTTCCTCAAAGTAGAATAAATTTGTCTAAAAGTATGCACGATTTCCAGAACTCTGATGTGTGGCCGTGGTAACTTCATTCATTACCTCAGGAAAAAATGTTCGAATTTCTCAAGCAATAAATATGCTTATTCGTAAGATGATTTTTATAGCAGAGGTGTCTGGTGTCAAATGTGAGGAAGAATTGTGACTTTACATGTTTTAGAAAAGAAGGCGGCACTAAATCTCCCAAGGGAAAGGAGTCCCCATCAGGCTCAGTCTCCGAAACGCCCAAGAAGTCTTTGAAGAAGTCCAAGAAGGTCTCTGAGAGTAAGAAAAAAGTCTACATCTCCGTGCTCAACAGTATTTTTGGGGCGGTAAGTATTTTCACCCATTCAAATGTGCTGTACAGCTGTGACCTTTGACCTTTACATATTCAATCACAGTTTTAGCTCAATTTTATATCCCAGTATCAAGTTTTTCTTCACACGCATTTGTTAAAAAAAAAAAAAATCATTATCCATTTAAACGCCATGACAACAGTCACAGGTGTTACATGTTACAATGTCAGGAGCCAGGCGGAGGTGAGACGGTGTGCTTACAGGTGTGCTCCTGATCTTTCTGGAGCTTTTTTCCACTAAGCCTGGTGTGTCTGACGTGTTAGTCGCCCGTTAGCACAAGCTTAGCGTCACAATTCATTAGGATGATCCGAAAGAAGAGCTCCGTCAGAACAAGACCTTTTGTTTTTTGATATGTTTATAAATGATAATTACACACAAGTTAGCAATCTTTGATGTCATGAGCATCACACTCATTTACAAAAATGAAATGGTGTCAATTTTATTCTGTTGTGGAGTATTTGACTTTGTTTTTGCTGCTGTGACATGTCTGATTCGCGTGTGTGCAGGACAGAGAACTGGCTCCGGCTGAATTAGACGGTGAGTCTCACTCACACCTACATCAGCGTTACATTTATTACACTGAGGTGTCGGGCCTCAGAGGTGATCGCCTAAAAATCCTGTTTTGTGTTGTCAGTGGTGAATTATTACAGAGTTTAAAGGAACTGTTAATGTTAAAATGACTGCCTAAACCCAGCTTTTGTTTAGTGTTTTAATATTTTAAGCTTTTTTTCCAGTTTTTTTTTAATTTCATTTACTTTTTGTTTCTTTCCATCTTCAAAAATCTATTGTATGTTCAAAAGTAGGGAGAAATGTTCCCAGACCACACCTTTTCATTACATACTGCTACTATTTTTCAACAGTTTTCCTTAAATTGTGTGAATTTGGGTGCTAAATGTTATCAGTAACTTTCATGTTCTCTTTGCAACCCCTATGATATTTCTCACAGAGCTGCACGAGGCCTTTAAGGAGTTTGACTACGACCAAGATGGCTACTTGAACTACAAGGACGTGGCTGAGTGCATGAGGACTATGGGATACATGCCCACTGAAATGGAGCTGCTGGAAATAGTGCAACAGATAAAGATGAGAAGTGAGTCCACTGATAACATGTTTAATCTTTATTAAACAGTCAAGTAAAAAAAACAACAACTCCATATTTGGCCATGTTTTGGCCTTTATTGGTTCACTTAAGAGCCCCTTTCTTCTTCACAGTGGGCGGGTTAATGGACTTTGAAGACTTCATTGAACTGATGGGACCGAGGATGATGGGCGAGACGGCGGACATGCTGGGACTAAAGGAGCTCCAGTCGGCCTTCATGCAGGTCTGTCAGCTAACGATGACTCAATTACCGCAGTTATCGAATTAGAGCGAATGGACAGAAATCCCAAATAAATGTGCGCACACAGTATCATCGGATACGCACGTCATTTCAAATACTTTGTTTTTCAGTTTGATGTAGACGGAGATGGAATAATCAACCTGGAGGAGTTGAAGGAAGCGCTGAAGACCCTGCTGGGGGAGAAGCTGAAGAAAGGAGAACTAGAGGAGATCTTAAAGGAGCTGGATATTAATGCAGATGGGAGCATTGATTTTGAAGGTGAGAAGACATCAGCATGTTCGGACCATTAACTGATTCATTAGAAGTGTGTGTGTTTTTACACTTTTCAAACTTTTCATCCACATTCACCATTACACTTCTGTCAGATAGCCACACACTGACTCAGTTTTCTCTTCTTTCTCCTTTTGCTCAGAGTTTGTGATGATGCTCTCTATTCGCTAATCGTTCGACAGACCGACCAACCATGGACAGACTGCTTTGGTCCACAGCTGTATTCACAGTTAGGCTCACTTGTGTTTGTAACCTAGCTACAGACTTTTACTACATAAAGTGTGGCCTAGCCTTGCAATAATGCTGCATGTGACGAACTTCTGCATGACTCCCACATGTCATCAAATGCAGAATATGCAGAGTGTTATGATTTTGTAGATTCATGAACATTTTGTTGTGATATAGCATGTAAATAAGACTGCAGTGTTTTGCTATTTTAATAAAGAAATCAAACTCACTCGTGCCTGTCACTGAAACGTCAGGACACATCACAACGAGCATCACGTCACAGCAGACTTCATTCCAAAAACATCTGTTTTATTGTTTCCAGGTCATTGTTAAACAAAATAGGAATGATAGTGATCATTATTATCCAGAGAATATAAGTTAAATATAAATAAGATCATGTCAGGTCGGCTAGCGTCAGAATTAGAATTGCACATTCAAATCATCAGAAAGAAAAGTTTCACATTTCAGAATCAGATCCCACATCAGGCCGGCATTTAGCGGTGGTACCGAACCCAACCATAAGCCCAATTTATCCTCCATTTAAAACTCTATAAATATATCACTACATTAAACTTAATCTGCGTATTAATATCGTAATTATTGTTCTTACTATAACGTCAAACTAAACCGTAGCTCAGGGAATCTGTAACATGCAGCACGAGTAATCTGCTGAGATTTACGTCTCAATGCCAGGCGAGAAACGGAAACACGAGCCAGAAAAATCCAATTCCCGAAAAAGCACAGAGATGGACGAGGCGCTGACGTCACAGGAGTTATAATCAGGAGTTTGTCATGCATTTTCTCTCGTATATTAGACTTTTGAGATTCTAAAAATACACATTTCTCTTGTTTAGAGCTGGTCACAATGTAGCTTTGATGCATTATTTATCCTTCATTTTTTAATAAAACTAAGTTTTACACATCCACACTGTAAAACTCGTCTTCAAACCACAATAAATTCTGTGTTGCATTTCACAGACAAATAAAAAAATGCTCATCATTAATTTGATACTTTCCACTGAATACCAGTCACTTATATTTTGCACATGAAGTAATTTCAAAATAAAAGCTCCTGCTCTCCCTCGTACGACCTCCCGTCCATTTCTCCTACTTTCACTGGAATGTTTGCTCCACTTTTTGCACACTTTGTGACAATGAGAAGCACCATCCCAAAAGCAGATTTAGTAAACAGGTGCATGTACTGTACGTCTTCCTTGCGCGAGAGAACTTGCTCGGTTCAGTTTGTGTGGTGCTCACATTGGCAGGATTGAGGGTGTTCTGGCTTTCCCAGGATGACACACACTGATTGGCTTTAGGATGCTTTGGATTAAACCACATACCGAATATTTTGAATGCATGCTGCACCATTCTGACTGCTTTGCGAGGTTATATTGATTTAATTAACAGTTTATTTTTGTACTGTAGATCTGTTTGTATCAATTATGTACTTAGTCATCATGAATGGGCATGCTGTCCATTGGTCACACTGCAGTAACTCAAATCACATCACATCACAGCATCCTTCTGTGTGCAGCCTTTAACACTACAGCAGCTACGGTGCCTTCATTTCTTCACGTCGTCTTCGTTCCTCTACATGCTGCCAAACATCTCAGTGTCCCTTCTTACTTCTCAAACTCTGTTCATCTCTTTAGGAAACCCCTTTCTTCCTTTCTTTAATCCAACTAGATGGTAGGTATATAGATAAAGACAGATAAGCTTCTTCTATTTTTTTCTATCCACGACACACTGCGCCTTCTTTGATCAACAGGATCTGACTAGTAAGACTTCTCAGTGGTCCTCTATTGTTTACAGCTCGTTGGCCAGCTCATCTGCAAACTCAGCCATGATGTCATGCACCCAGGTGTCCTTTTCTTCCTGGGAAGTGTCAACTAGGAAGACAGTCAGCTTCCTCTCCCAAGGGGTAGTGGCTTCCTGTACTGCCTCCAGCTGGGCCACCATAGGCTTCTTCTCCACGTGGTGCCGGAAAACAATGGAGGCCTCCTCGGACCACTGCCTTTGCTTCACTCCTGCGGAGAACCAGGAGCCAAGTCCAAATGAGAACCAGGCATAAATAAATAGGTATAAATAATAAGTAATAAATTAAACGCAGGTCTTGCAGATTGATGTAATTGTACAGCCCAGTTGACTGAGTGTCATGTGGCGTGTACTCACCAGCCAGCTGAGCAGTGATTCCCTGAAACGGCAGCTGCCTGAACTCTTTGATCAGAGGTCTGAGCTGTGTGCAGCTGACCAGCTCGTGCTTACCATAGTCCAACTCATAAACAGACACCAAGCCGCTGTTCAGAACTCCTTTCACCAGCACACGATGCCAGCTGAAGAATCGATGGAGAGAAAGCACACGCACTTACAATTCAAGTTCTTAACAGCATGCGTTGTGAGATTTGTAGTTGTAAACTCACCTGTTTTCCACTTTAGCAGCATAAATCTGATTCTTCTCTACGTTTAGTGGTTTCTCCTCTGTTTTGTTGTAGTAGAGAATCATCTCTCCCATCAGCACTACCAGCCTGTACATGTCTCCCCATGGCTGTAGCACAAAGTGGCCGGGGTGGCACGCCAATGATACGTATACATCCATGTTGTTTCCTGAAAAAACAAGAGTCCAATGTGAAATAAGAACAGTGAGGATTAGAGCATTCAAATGCAGTATATACTGTGTGGTGGGTGTTTAAACAAGACAAATAACAACAGTGTTTTCTTTAGACAATATACTCTTCCTTGGTACCTATAGTGGGCAGCTCTAATGGTGGTGGCAGCTGGAAAGAGGATGTGGGGGATGATGGTGTTTCTGTCGGGCTGCTGGGGGTGGTGGTGGTGTTTCCACCGCCTCCACTGCCTTTGGGTCCCGACAGAGCCCTCCTGAGGTGAGGCTTGACTGGGACATTAGCTGATGTTGGGCTGCCATTGGTGGAGTTACTGGCACTGGAGGTCTTGGTGGATGAAGTAGGTGTGGAAATCCTGGCAGAGCTGAGAAAGTCATAAAACTAGAAATTCAGTTTAAATGAATTACAACTGAGAAAGGAGAAAAAATAGACATTAGCTGGAGGGCACAGAGTTAACAGGTGAAAAACCATCATGGAGAACCTGTGGCTGGTCAGGAAGACGTCTGGTTGCTGCTTTAACAGCTCGGACTGGGCCATCTGACGGTTGAGGCTGCGGTCCGGGTCATGGAAGTTCTTGTCTGTGAATAAGTGGACGTGAATGCAGCGCTTCTTTTCATCCACTTTGGCAACCTTGGTGAGTGTGGAGGGACACGAAGAAAAACACAGAGGAAAAAAACACAGAAAACTCATTTAACACATTTACGGCTGCGTTTAGTTTCTTCATAGTAGAATATTTTAGAACAGAATATATTAGAATACTTTTCACAGTTGTTTTGAGTTTCTAAATCAATCTAAATATATTGCTATATGTAAAAAAAAGGATAGTGTGAATATTTGTAAGTCTATTTTTTATCATCGTCTCCACCTCTTCAGCTCAAAAGGCCAAAAAAATACATTTATAAAGGGGACAAAGCCATTTACCTTCATACTACAGTCAGTGGTGTTCAACACTTTGTCTCGAAGCCACTGCACAGCATCTGGAGTCCAGGATCCAACACTGACAGCCAGGTCTGCTAGACAGCACTTCACAGCCTGAACACAGGTTGCATGCATCAGCTTATCTAACAATATGCCCACATTTCTACAGATACCGTCTAAATCCTAACTGTATAAATGACATATATGATCTTATTACTTATTTCTCTGGTCGGGTGTTCACTGTCTGCACATTAAAGACATAGGCCCTGACCTGTGGTGGGATAGCCATAAGGTCACGGAGGAATGGGGGAGGAATCTCCCTCAGCTCAAACACCTCGACAGAAGCCTGCACGCCCACATCAATGAACAGGATGTCCAACACTCTGCTGCCATGAAGGTTGGTGATCTAAAGAGACAAGAAAGCGTCACGTTATTAAACTGCCTCGGAGAAAAGTTATAGATAAACAGATAACTATACTTGGTACTGATTGCAACACAGGGATTAACAGGTTGTGACTGCTTATCAAAGGTTAACAAAAGGAAATAAATGGTCCTCTATTGAGCAACAGTCATTTAGTTCCTTGTTTAATAATTCACATTGTTTATTGCAGGAAACAGTTACCTCGACACGGGACCATTTTCCTTTGTAGCGAGCCAAACATCTTTTCCCACAAAAAGGTCGGGAGACCAGGAACTCTGATGTTACCTGGAAGAAAATTAATGGAATTAAAATCTTTAATAAAAAAACAAAAAAAACCCCCATAATTGTTACATTTGACTACAGTGTTACAATGTGACTTTGATCTAAAATGTTTCCTTATGTTTAATGTTTCATTCTGTGTATTTCTGACCTAAACTCATCTGATCCAATAAATCTTCCGTCTTAACACAACACGCTGGCAGCTCTGCTCTGTTTACCCAAACGCTGCCGTAAAAATGACGCTACACGCTTTAAAGGCCGCTGAACTACAAAAGCATCCGCTGCACTGTGCTGCTAACAGACTAAGTGGCTTGGCCATGTCTTAACTCCAGATTAGCAACCTAATCGTAATCTGTCCACAACACTGCCTGAGAGAAAACACATGGCATTGTTACATTCACAAAAGTCTTTTTAAGATGACGTTGATGAGCTCCGATCTACTAATTCAAAGAGAATTAGAAGAAGAGATAAAAGGTTGGATTATTTTCCAGTTTGTACACAGGACGCATGTATGTATGACCCAATGTGATCCAGTTATTTAATGGCAATACATGCATTTTTATATAAGCTCTAAGAAATGATGACATGTAAAGCCACAGAAAGAGAAGTGTGAGCTAGAAAATGAAAACCTCATTTGGAACAAGTCTCATTCAAGTCCTCAGAGCCTGAAATTAGCATGAAGTTTTCTGAAGGTAATCTACTCAAACATAGCCATGAAATCTTGGAGGTGTCTGCAGAAAACCGACTAATTCTGTTTCACCTGGGCCTACTGCTGGACAAAAGCGACTACGACTACACAATGTTCGGTTGAGTTGTTTTGACAACTGTTGTTTGCAGAGTAACGTTCAAGTGTAGCCATTTAACAGTGCACAAGGAGACACACTATACTGAAAATAGTAACATAAACAGCTACAGTGTGTAATAGATACTATTATATAATATACTTGAAATAAATGTAATTTAAATGAAATAATTTTTTTGCATTTTCTACAACACGCTGTCTGTTCTTCTGCATATGCTCAGCTGTGATATTTGCATATCAATTAAAAATGACAAGAGATCAGTCATGTTAGCTGTTTTAGCTTTTCTCTTACACTATGATAAGAAGATAGAACATATCAAGGCTACAAGATTATAATCAATCTGCACACTGATAAAAGTATCACAGTTCCAAAAAAGCTCTGAGACAGCACACGAAGCAGGCGTTTACCTGTGAGTGGAAGTACGTCTCTATTTTCTCCAGCGTCTCATTCATTTTGGTAAGACCTCTGGAGGGAGGCTGACAGTAGATAGTCCCATCAGAACAAACGCTACTGATGGCCACATTCATATAAGCGCTGTTCACCTGAGGAGAGCCATGAAAACAATTTTGCTGTGTTACAAAACCACATGCATACCCACATGTATTCACGCACAGTCACTTCGGTACCTGTAACGGACTCGCTAGCGACTTGTCGTGCAGAGCTTTCATGCAGGCAGCGTTGATGTTTATGTCATCATCCTGCGACGTGTCGTACAGGACAACCAGAGGGGTCTGCCCTCTCTCCAGGATCTCGGCCAAGAGAATCTTTCCACTCGCCATCGTCTCAAACTTCTTCAGCACCGCCGGGTCCTGACAAAATGTCTCAAGGCCTAGGCACACACAAAGACACAAAACATATATATTCTCAGGTACTAGAAACCTTTGAAGAAGCTCTTTTCCATAGAACGATCAGATCTGTGACTGGGCCCTGCAGCACTGAACATTTCTGACTGGTCGACTGTTTATTGGCTGCATAACCGACATCTACTTACACAACTCGAACAGTTATGTGCAAAATGACGTATTGGACTAATCTCCACAGCTTTTCGCTGTGTGTGGAGGTAACTTTGCTTAAAATCCCGGGAATAAAATCTCAGTCTTTTGTGCATATGAACCAACTAGGAAAGGAAAAAGAAAGTTTGACAGTAGTGGCAACAAATTTCTTTAAGTAATGTTCAGTTTTCTTCCAAATTACTTGTGTTTTTATGATTAAATGACGAGTACACCCACCTGCCAGTTTACACTTGGCTGCCTGGAAAGACAGTTTAAAGAACTTCTCATGCAGTTCAAACACTTTGTTTTTGCTGATCACCTCTGAGAAGCCATGATCCACATAATACACCTATAGAGCCAAAAAAAGAAAAGATCAGAGGGAGAACTTATACGTCCTCAAATTAATCCTTCAGGTCATTTCCTGTGTTTGACCCCTCACCTTGACCTTGTCAGTCATGACCTCACAGACTTGTGCCCTCAGAATCTCCTCCTCTTCCTCCGCCCTGACTGCAACAAGCTGGCCCGAGGATAGGGATGATACAGGTGTTGGGCTGCTTTGGTCCAAACCATAAAACTCTCTCATTTCATCTTCCATGGACTCCTGAGCCTGGGAGTAACCCTCACCGATGTACCTGCAGCGGAGGAGAGACAGTCAGGGATTTATGCTCTCCGCCTTGTTACGACGCAATCGCACAACTTCTGTCTTACCTGAGTAAAACCCCGTTTGTGTTGGTCGCCTCCACCACCAGCACAGAGGGGTACTCCTCTTTGGGGATCTGTAGTGGAGGCACTGCCTGGTTACTGAGCCTCCTCCCCAGCTCCTTCCTCACCCTCAGCTCCTCCTCACTGGCTGAAGAGTTCCTCCTGTTGCAGTTCTCGTCCTCTCCTCCTCCACCTCCAGTACTGCTTCGCCTGTACAGGATGGCCCTCTTGGGGTTGTCAGGCATTGGGTAGTCGATGGTGCAGATGTCAGAGAGGAGATCGAGGTTGACCAGAACATGTCCTGGCAGTTTGGTCTTAAAGACACATAAGATATAATAATATTATCAGGTTCACCCGGCATGTACATGAAAGTATACTGAAGTATTACTGACTTTGTAGGTGTCCTGGAAGAGCTTGGGTAGCGCATGGGCCCACAGGCCACTGGAGTACTTCACTAACAGTTCCTCCAGCTTCTGCTTCAGGTCAGGGCTGAGGGTTGCAGGGGACGAGGGAGGGCTGGGTGAAGAGGAGGATGAAGGTGGAGACTGAGAAGACCGAGAGCCAGAGCGAGTCGGACGAGTGCTGGGGGCTCTCTGTTGGACAGAGGATTGGAAAGGTTTGTCTGCGGGCACGTTTGTGGTTGTAGCAGAGTTTGGGTAGGTGAGGATGGGCGAAGAGGAGGAGGAAGTGTTTGTCTGTTCCTTGGCAGGGTAGAGAAGCCGCTGTGATGGGTTGCTGCTGCAGGTTTTCTCTACCTGGAAGGACAAACGGAGCAGCCCTATTACAAAAGCATTTTGCATTGCACTACAGTGATGTTTTAGAATTATCTTTCTCTTTGCTTGGAAACAGAAACCCTTATTAAGCTACCAAAGCACGAATAATAATTACAGCATCATAAGCGACACATACTATGCAAATGTGCGTCCAGGTCTCCAGGTCTTTAATGGCCTCTGTGGGCAGGTCTTGTTTGTAAAGCTCTCTGTACATCTGAGGCAGTTTGGACACCCAGAAGCCATTACTGTACTTCGCCAAGATCTCTCTGATGTGACCTTGGACCAGTTGGGGGTTGTAGGGCTTTGCTTTCCCAGAACCAAAGCTCTCATTTAAGTTTGAGGGTGCTGGAAGATAAATAGAGAAAAACAGACAAGAAGGAAAAAAAGATCAGACACATGTATAAAGCCCACTACTGCTTCTAAAGTAATCATTTCCTTGGACCTAAACTATTAGATTGAATGACGTGACTTCACCTCTAAAAGTGAAACAGAAGCAAAAGAGAAAACAAAATAGGAGAGTGAAAAAAGTCCCATTACTTCTATTTTTGTGTGCTGACTCAAAGGAAATCCAAAATAAAGGAAAGAACGATATATAAAAAAAATCACTAATAATCAGAAAGGAATTATCTTCTGCCAATTTGGAGGACAGGATACACAACATGTATTTTTAGTGTGCTGAAAAGGAGCCTGTCCTACTTACGAGCAGTCTGCTGGGAGTTTCTGGAAAGGTGAGCGTGCACCTCTTTCTGAAACCGTGATGGTAGGGTCATCCTCCTGAACACAAGAGAACAAACAAGAAAGATAATTAGCTTTTTGCAAGTTCTAAAAGGCAAAGAAAAAGAAAATACTGATGACAGGCCGTCTACCTGTTTCTTCCTTCTTTGTTTAGAACGTCTGACTCTTGGGCCATCCTTTAAAAAAACATTACATTTGATTTGGAGCTGGAAGGTCTTCTATCTTATTTGAGGCAAAGCACAATCAGAGCTTCAAAATAACTCAGGTAACATTTCAAAGTCCAAACAGATAGCTTGCTAAAGTTCTCAGAATGATGACCTGTTAATCCTGAGATACTGCACAGCAGGAACTGCATTGCACTAGTTTCCCAATGCAGTGATCTGCTGAGTACCTCTATCTGTGCACTGAGTAGAATATGCATCTCTTTACTCTGCTGAAATCTTCACTGATCTTCCATCAATTTCGTCTACCCCTCATCTTTATCATGTCTGAGGGTCAACTCAAATCACACAGCTCTGTTTAAACATTTCTCCAATCAGTCAGAACTCTTGCCTCACTCAGGTACATGTTAATGTAATCATGCAGTCAATAAACAGAGCAACAGCACCATTTGCTTCAGAGCCCCAAATGGCTGTAAGGACATTAGAATGTCTTACCTACACATAAAATCTGTATATTACAAAACACAATAACAGGAAATGTGCACTACACTGACCTCTTCCTTTACTTTTTGAGGCCTGTGGAGGTGGTGAAAACACACTGAAGGAATAAACAATTAAAAGTAAATTCAGGCTTTTTATGGAAGCGTCCTGAATAACTACAGATGTTATTTTTATGTAGCAACATTAACGTGGAGGTCTCCACCAGTGTTTTTTTATTGGCTGGGCAATAAAATGACTGAAAGCAGTACAACAGGTTCAGTCGTGCAGTGTGCAGACATAAAGGTGTCCAAGTGTTTGCCTGCCTCAGCACGTTGGCAAGAACGAAGAAGAGTAGTTTTTAATTTGAGACAAATATAGTCGTTTTCTAAAGTTACGAGCTTTTATTGTACCTTTTATTGTAATCTAATGAACCGTCTTCAATTTAAGTAATGTTTTCCTTACTTCACTGGTTTTTCATCAAATGACATATAAATGATGTTTAAATGTAATTCAGTGTTGTACTGCGCCTGTCTTTTTACTGAATTTACAGCTTCCACATCAAGGCAGCCCATAGTGCTACTGCACACACTACGCACACACACAAATAAATGATGATGACTCTGGCTTGCACAGTGGAACATCTAGAGGGATACAGAGAGATGTGCTGATTCACTCTGTGCCGGTTTAGAAGAGTTAATCTACCACAGAATAGAACAGGGATTAAAACGGGCTCATGCTCCCCCTGCACTGGGCTCGTGTCCCCTGCCAATACACCAGGCGTCCCACCCTGTTGCCCCATTGTGCTACAGAGGGCCAGCAGCACCTTCAGTGATACAGATATAGAACTGATGTCAGTTGTTTTCACAGGACGGTGAACTAAATAGTGGGTGGATGGAAGTGGGAGAAACAGTCATTGAGCAGAAGTGATATTTGATTCATTGTTGATGAAATATGATGTAGCAAATGACAGCAGCAGCACGAGTGCAAATGGAACAATGTTAGATACATTGATAAAAAAGAAGGAAGAACAAAGGTAGAAAGAATGAAGGGAGACAGAATACAGAGAGAGAACCAGAATAATGTGGAGAGCGTATCATCAGCCCAGTGCTGAATAAGCAGCAGCAGCAGGGAGATGGTTATCATCCAGAAACCAAGCAGAGTTCAACCAGACATCCATTCACGAGCAGACTCGTGAATGCTCGTTTTGATTCAGCTCAGCTCACACAGGTGGAGAGAAGGCAGAAAGAGAGGGTAGCAATGAATTTTTACGTTGCCTATAACTTTATAAAAGCAAATAAAGACGACAACAAAATGAGCTCTTTTATATCTTCCATGACTGAAATATTTTAAAACAACTTTTCTGGCATGAGATCTGAATTTTCTGAGCACAGCTGCCTGTGGCTCATTACTCTACATGGGTTTCCAAAGGACTGTGGAAGTCTGCTTGATGACTGATACATGTAAGTGTACAAAGAAATCCCCACAAATATGTGGAGGTGGGGTTGAAGGATGTGAGCCTAACTAGATCTTTTCATAGTGAAACCCTAAAGAATTTTTCACTCTTTTGTCCAGTTCCAAAGACTGGATTTTGCTATTGAGGGCATTTTATATCATCTAATCAAATAAATAAACTTAACTGACAATCTGAAAAGTGAAACACCGCTCTTCTCAACCTTCCCTCTGGATCTACTCACTCTCATCCAAATCCAAATTGCTTTACTCACTTGTCTGGAGGTTGGTTTCCTTTCCTGTTGGATGTGTTCTGACTGGACATCTTGTTCGGATGCCCCCCAGTCTTGCCCTCTGATGGGCCATCCCTTAAGTCTCTTGCCTGTCTGAAGTCTCCATGTCCAGCCCCACGGCCAGGGCCTCCTCCTCTACCCCCACCTCGGCCACGGTGGTTCGGTTGCCTCAGAGAGTTTTGAGGTTTGGCTGTGGAGAGAGAGAAAGCAAACACGAAAAAAAAAGAAAGTTATGGACTTGAAGTGAATACAAGTGCAAGAACACAAACACACACACAACCTAACTAAGCTAAACCTGATTCTAGGACATGGACAGTGTGCCTGAAATCCTTGCAGTTGTTGCGTTCTACTGTAAAAAGTCCACGTGGTCACAAAAAACAGGCATTTATGTCACCCAGGCCTGAAAGAAGCCTTCAGGCCTGCAGAGCTGATGTGCTTTTAAAATCTAAAAGGAGCAAGTCCAGGTGTTTCCACTTGCTTCCAGTCTTTATGTTCAGTTAAGATAACCGACACATGGCTGTAGTGCACCAGTTAATAAACTGATGCCTCATTTAGCTTGAAGCGATAACAAAAAACAAAGTTTATTCCTTTCAACTGGCACAGCTAAGGTGAAACACAAGTTCAACTGTATGTTTAGTTTAAGACTGGAGGTACATGTAACAAAAAACGTCAGGATTAGTCTGATGTGAGTATAAATCCAGTAATTGTAATCCATTACAGTCCCTGTTTATCCAGCAGAAAGATGGAAAGTCAGAGTTACACCATTCACATTTGTCCTGACATCACATTTCTGCGCGATGACCTCACCAGTATACCTCCTGTGCATAACCCTTAGTCATTTACACTCCCACACTCTGTCCTTTTCATTTCTTCCTCACACTGACTCTTCTTTTATCTCCACTCTTTCTTCTCAATCTCTTTGCTTCTCTGTGAGATCCAGAACTTTCTCCTGCTTTCTTATTCACTCTGTTCTCACTGAATCTCCACAATTTCTATTGAGAGAAAAGAGCTCCTTCATCAGCCACTCACTTCAAAAGTCATCAGCAGGCAATTCCCGCATCTAAATCTATTCTGTGGACATCCTATTGGCCACTGGCACTCAGTCAATTAATAAATCAGCCAGTTAATAAATCACTGAACTATACACACAAACACACACACACACACACACACACACACATTAGAGAAACCCAGCAGGCATAAGCATAAATCCACATGCAGATACAGTCAAGGACAAACACCCACAAACATACACACCAACACTAAGAGTAGACGCTGCATCACCTCACCGGCATGGACACACAGTCCCTGGTCTGTCTCTGCCTGAATAATAATAACCCAAGCGGGGAGGAGAGAAGGAGAGGGTGCATGTGCGTGGGGAGGAGAGAGCTTGATTTGTGAATCAGCGTCTCCTCGCTTGCAGCTGACTCTCAGCTGCTTCAGACCGTGTTAGCCTCAGATTTCAACATCCTCCTCTCCCTCCCTCTCTCTCTCCTTTTTTGACTCCTTCCTTCCTTGTCTCCTTACCATTTCACCATCCCTCCATCTTTCTTCTCCTCCAACCGTCTCACTGCCACTCTTTCTCTCTCCTCTACTCCTTTGTCTCCCTCTCTCTCTTTCTCCTCCCTGCACTACCACCTCCCACTTCCTCCTCTGGCTCTCAGAATATCCTGCAGCATCACAGTCTAGCAGAGGTGTGTGCACTGTAAATGTTTTAGTGCAAGTGTGTGTGTGAATGCAAAACGATAAATAAAAGTTCAGAAATGTTTGCGGACACGCAGTAAGGATGTATACGGGCTGAGATCTCGGTGCACCTGATGCTCGCGTGCAGCCCTGAATACTGTGGAGCTGCTTGTCTGAGTGTGTGGGATATCCTTAGTACCTAAAGGATGAGCAGGTCTCCACAGAAGGGCAGTTAAACAGGGCAGCTGTTCATCTACAAACTGTGAGGCTGCAGCACATAAAGCATTTGCATTTTGCATTGTCACAGCACTGAGATAGACACTGAACACCACTTCTGTTTCTATGCTGCTGCAGCAGCACTGCTGCACTGTAGCGCTAGAGGAGTCTGGAAAAGCTCCTTTTTGTTGTGTGAAAATGTGAAAGTTTGGGTACTACAAAACTGCTCCGTCATCGTCATCGGGCTTTTACACAGCAGATGGCTCCACTAAATGGCTCACTTACCAAATCGAGCTCTCAGTTTATCTCTGAAAAGTGTTTTTTCTTTGATTTTGAGGAAAACTGCAACATTAGGGTGGATATTCTACAACAATACAACAACGTCCAATCTCTAGGTTGTTTATGCTAACACATGTTCAGTTTTGTGATGTAATTCACTCAGTCTTCAATTGCTTTTTCTAGCCGAGCTCCACATATTCATGCTCCTGCAATGACTGCAAAACAATAAATACTTGGAGTTTTACTCTGAACTGAACCTGAGGGAGAGTCAGAGAGAGGGAAAAATGCCAGTGCATATGAGGATACATCTTGTTTAACTTTTTACAGCGAGCAGAATAAAAACACGTCTCCCTGTCCTTTCTCAGCAGTGCGCACACAGAGAACAACATTCATGTTTCTTTCTTCCTTTTACTTCCCGTCAGTGAGCACGATTACAAGTCTCAGACTTGTTAAGTGTGTTCCATTAATGTCTGAATATAAGTATGTTAGAGTTATAGTTAAATTAACATGTGCAACAATTCCAGTCTCATGCTCTCTTCTTCAGACACTTTCAATCGAACGCAGCAATATAAACAGTTAAATTCCTCTTAGTGCCATTTGGCGAGCTGTGCCAATTAACTTTGAAATGTAATATGAACAATAAACTTTTTGAATTACTGACAACAGCAGACTTTGAGAGTTAATAAATATGTAAGTGTTTTCAGTCTGTGATGTGTTTTACAACATTATGAACCGCAAGTTCTAACTATGAATGATGGTCAGGTTCGAGTTGACCTTTTCAGGCAGCAGTGTGGCTGCTCTTCTCTATCAGCCCATCAGTTGTAAAGCCAGGTTGTGTGACAGCAGCCCTGGTGCATAGCTCTGGTTTAGTTTCACACACTGCCGAAAAACCCAGAGCGTCAGGCACATTTACGCATGTGTCACAGTAACGGTATCTACATTGCCCTAAATCAGCCTTACTGATAATTACCAAAATACTTTCGTTAATGGTTCATCTGCAAGTATACAGAAGCTCTTCAATCAAAATATTGTTAATGCTAAAAAATAATTATTGTCGTTATCCATGTATGTTCAAATATGCTAATTAACAAAAAAGCTAAAAAAAACAGTGAAATATATATTTTTTCTAAAGTTATCGCAGTTATTTACCTGCACGCCTTAACTGAAGAATTAGTTTTAGTGGTTGAATGCTATGATTGATTAACGTCTGACTTCTCAGAAAAGTCCAGTCTGCCAGTTCAAATATGGGTATACAAACAGAAATTCAGTTCAGTGAATTCAGCAACTTTTACTTTTAAACAAGTTTTTTAACATTTTTGTGTTTTCTTGTTTTTATCACAGGTGGTTTATCAAATTTGTTGAGCACTGCAGATTTTATTTCTGTATGAAATGCATACATTTATCTCTGAATAAAGCCTGAGTCTCAATCCTCAGGACCCACAAAAAGTCCAAAGCAATTTCTAACATATCAGTTCAGCTCTATATCATTCACATATTTATTCTCCTGCAGCCTGCTGACTGTGAGCACACCCCTGACTCTTCTGATGTAGATACATATGAAGATGGCAACTGACTGCAAGAGGATGCCTCGCCGCTTCCTGTGAAGTGCGCATTTCAGAGGGTAAAGAGATCGTGAGTTGACTGCACATGGTCCAAATAATTTGGGTCGTGCTGCTGTCTCCAGTTACTGTTTTCTATGTTGGCCCAGGGAGGTCAAATGCATCGGAACGTAATCATAACACCAGCAAAATAGAAAAACATAGCAGAACTTTGAATGAAAATATTTGCCAGTTTGTCTAAAATGGTCATGCATAAACAAAGATGTACTTGAAAGCTAATAATCTATTAACAAATCTATGCTTCTGTTTCTTTATCAAAGAGTCATACGGTTGAAGGAAGAAAAACAGTAACCTTTGGATTTAAGGATTGTTTGAACCTTCTTTATCAGCAGCAGTCAAAGTATTTGTGGAAGCTGGAGCTCAGACCTGCTCATCGAATGTCCACTCATTCTTCCAAAAAGAAGTTTCTGATTAGCTTTCCTGTTACCACGTCTGATGTTACTCGTTCTCTGACTTCATCCCACAATGCACCTGGAGGCCCACCTCTAGGCAGAGTATAAGCAGCACCTAATCCTCTCCTTTTACTAACAAATGAGCTAATTAACTGATCAACACACATTCATTATGAATATGCTGACGTGGACATCCCTGTACGGGTCCCAAATTTTTTATTTTTTTACATTTTTTTTACCATTGAGGACAAGCGGGGCAGCTGGTTTGACCCTCATCTGGGTGTTGACAAGGTGAGGTCGACCCGTCTTCTTGGATGTGCGCTGACGAGCCACCACCTTGGCTAGATGACCTGTCTCCTTGGCCCCTGAGGCAAAACAAACCACCTGGAAATAGAGAATGCAACAAGCATGCAGTCGTGCTCTAGTGTAATGTAAACATGGTTAAACCCTGCAGGCGTAATGCACATCACACAATGTAACAATCTACCGATGACATGTTTAAAGAAAGAAAGCAGAAAAATATATATCATCCATCGCCGCTTATGTGAAGCACATCGGCACACACCTCTCCCGAGCGGCTGCGCTCCATGCGGACTAAAGATGGCATGCTGGCTAGAAGAGCATCCAGGTTGCTGTGTCCCATCTGCTTATGTGGTATGTGCTCCCCAGTCAGCTCCTTATACTCTGACTGCAGGTGTGACAATGACACTCCACCTTTGTTGGAATGCAGGATGCCCCGCAGCATTTTTTTTGCCACCTCCGCATCAGCCATCTGAAGAAAAAAACACAAGAACAAACCCAAAACGCAACTTTTTAAACACTTCAGTTCTGAAAACTTTTACTCTGATAATGACGCAAACCCATACTAATGTCCACACAGGCTGGGTTTACGCTGTAGGTCAATGAAGGACTGGTTAGGCAAGTTTTCATGAAGTGTTGATCAGATTTCAAGAAACAAACAGTGTACAGATCAATCTAAATCTCTGTTGCAGACTAAAACTGCAACTGAATTCTGAAGTCATAGTATCAGTAGAGTATTTGCTTTTTCTTTTAGGCATAAAAAACATCCATGACCAAAGCAAGCAAATGTATATAAAAACCTGCTTTTGAAAAATACAGTAAATACAGCAAAGAGCTCCTCTTGTTTGTGTTTTTATTTTGAAAAAGGCTGTTACATTCCATCTCTGCACAAAAATGCTTTCGGTTTCCAAACTAAAGCGCCCTGCAGCGGAATTGAAACATACAGAGCTGTTCCCTTTCGAACTTTAGGCAAAAGTAAAACGAAAACTTTAGGTTTCAACAAGCATTTGGTATCAACTCTCGCTTCTGACCGACATGGAGACACACCCTGAAAGCAGAATTAGGGGTCTCACCGGACACACTGGAGTGTAAACAAGTGGAAATCCTCAACTTGCCCCTTAAAAAATGACAATGACTAAAATTTAGGAATACGCGAGATCGGGCACACTCGGAAAGCGTCAACTTTGCACTTTGGGAAAGACACGATATCTGATCTTCTTTCGAAATTGGTCCCCGAAAAATCAATTATTCAAATTAAAGTATTTCTAAATATATTTATCCGTTCAGGTAGTACCGTGATGAAGAAGGTGGTGGAACTGGAGCAGGATGAAGTTAAAGTATCAGACTATTTCAGAATGAGATGGCTTTAGGCCACTTGTTGATATGGCCACTCTGAGCAGCGCAGACAGCAGACGGGAGAGGGATGAATGACGTAACGTGTCACACTTTAACTCCACACCCTCCATCGGGACAAAACTATTTGCTTTAACTTTTTCTGCCTTTATGAGTTTCATGAGCAAAAACTGTGCTTAAGTGGCTCTGAAAAAATACAATCACACCAACAGAGCATACCGGACCCGGTAAATAGCCCGCTTATGCGACCATACTGCGCGCAAAATCGAGTTAAATCCTCCTACCAAAGCCGGGACAGCGGCTACGTCGAGTTAGTTAAAAAGCGACGTCAAAATACCGGAACTACATAAATCCTGCCTTCATAATAAAACAACCGCGATACACCGGTTACCTTTCCCAAGGCAAATGACTAACAATAGCTTTAATTTTGAAAGTAGCTGCCGGAAAGAAGGTTTGCAAGCCCGATTGAAAACATTTCAACCATCAAATCCGGGAGTAGCCACCCCAAAAAAACAAAAAAAACCACCACCGACCAAGCTTTATCATGAGTTAAACTTTTTAAGCCCCATGAAAGTTATTCTAAAAGCTACCAGAACAGTCTACCTTGCTCTGCACGGATGAGGTGGTGAAGTCGGGACCTGGTCCAGTCGCTGTGGCGCTGTCACCGCCACGGGGGTTGGCTTCGTTCCCGGTGTGTGCCGGCCGGCAGGCACAGCCTCTCCTCCGCCACCTGATTGGTCGGCTGCGCATAGGCCTCTGGATAATTACACGTCAATACGCATCCAGGGACCCGATACATCCACACCAAAACGGTTGTGTGTGTGCGTGCGTAATAACGCATGAAGGGCCTTCGTGTTACTGTAACACAGATATGTGTAATAAGTGATCAACCCAAAATAAATAAAAAAAAAAATAACAAGAACAGAAGAGAGTTCTCTCCCCCGGCCAATTTAATGTATCCTTTCTTTTAATTTTAACTTATTACTAATATAACACAATTAGACAAGTGTATTAATTGTCAAACCAAACTGTAAAACAATCTGACTACTTATTTGCCTCCCCTGTAAAATGTGATGATGTGGTTTTTAACCACCACATTTTTTAATTGAAATCTCAGTAAACCAACAGCAAATCCCATTCTTGTATTGTACCGTGTTTTTTCGTAACCGCATAAACTGGGTGTTTTCATTGCAAACAGAATTTACCAGCCACGAGGGGCGCTATATATATAGGGGCGCTATTTCTCCCATTTCTTCTTCTTTTAGTCTTTCAGGTTGCCGGAAGTGACCTGTCAAAAACGGAAAAGCTCGCCGGATCCGTAAGCTATTTATCCAAAAACACCAGAGGATTATTATTTGCATGAATACATCAAAAGGCCTAATTTAAAGACAGGAATCTGCATATATCAGGTGAGTTGCATTACAAAATACACCTGTGTCATGTTAGCTGTTTAACAGCGCCTTTCTCTCGGACTTTAGCCTGTTGCTAATGTTTCAAACCGTTTTGGCTAGTTAGAGTATAAGGCTTTGTAAAGCTGTTCTAAATAATTTGTTACGACGTGGTACATAGATAGCATTTAAAAGTGGTTTGGTGTAAAGAGTCAACATTAAAGTAGAATTAGCATAATTGTGTGTCGGGACATTTGTCCCCATTGAGTCATTGAGTACTTTGTCATTATTGTTTTGGCTCAAGCCTTTGACTTTCTTTGGATGCATTTACTTTTTGCAAGTGCGTATCTGACTTGTTGCTTCTTAGTTTAAATAAACCTGTAAAGTAGCTTATTTAGTATTCGACCCTCTGAGCAACAGTTCGACCGGAAGTAATCGTTAGCCTGTGTGTGTCACCTGTGAACCACCTCAATCTTTAACTTGTTCATTGTTAGCATGTACTAGTCTTGCAAATACCATGGGTTGATGTTATGTGAAATGAATGGGAATAATGGCTAAAAGTAATAAAACCGACCTTTTTGTGTGTTTTCATACGTCTCACTTGAATGTCATGTACATTTAGCTGTAGTAAATCAGATTAATGAAAAGTTGATCTCATAGCTGTTAGAATGGGTCCTTAAAGTAAACAAGTCTCAGCTGGTTAAATATCACCCTCCATCTCTCAGTTCAAATCAGCTGTGACGTTTTGTGATCCCTCCCTGTAATCGCACTCTTGTGTTATCCTCCCCTCTCTCTGAAAAAGAGGAGAGCATGGGGAAGTAGAGAAAAAGTTGAGTCTTCTTTCGGCTGCAGTGAAACCGTATTAACCTTTAATTATGGCTTTGAACAGACGTCACTCTTACACTCCCAGGGTGAGTAACATGAGTACTTAACAGCAAATAATGCTGAAATTAATACGACAGTGATTATTTGATTAACCAATTTGAAAAGTAACAGTGAGTTATTGCACTATAATGCTAAGAAGTAAGGATTTGTGAGACTCACCATAATGTCGATGTGCGATCCATCCACATCTATTGGCTTCATCAGAGTTGATATGTATTTTTAGTAATTTATAAAAAAGTATAGACAGACCTGTCGATGAGAATAACATTATTGTCTTAATATTTACCACATAAGTAGATTTTTAAAAGGTCTTTGTCTAAAACCAATGAATCGGTAGGTGAATTATTTTCATTCGCCGTCTTGTTTTAGTGAGTATAATCCTCTGTCCCAGAAATATTAAACCTCTTCTGATTTATCCTGCCCTGTGGTTCAAACTAAGATAGCATGGATTCACATGCTTCTACATCTCTATAAAAGGATTAGACTTTTACCACAGTCCCAGTTTGTCTTCAATGTGTGCCTTTGTCTGAGCAAGGCAGAGATACTTGCTTGTTTATTGTAGTCCGCACCATATGACTGGCTGCAAGTATGCTTCTGTGCTGTGCAGCCTCAGGGCTGTTTTGTCATTGAATATTTTCGATTCCTAAGACTTGATGTTAAAGGCTAAAGCAAGGAGAATGATGGTACTTTGGAATTCTTAAATATAAACAAAAAATTCTCTAGTGTTTCATAACTTTGGCTTCCTTATTTATTGTCTCTTTCCTTCCCCCCCATTATATATTATTGTTTATCCACCCTTTCACCTCTTTCTCTTTACCTGTATCTTCAGCTGACCAGCCCACTGATCAGCAGAATGAGCAGCACAGGAACAGTGGAGAGTAGTAAACCTCCAAAGGTGGGTACTTTTTCTATGCAGACATAACAAAGGAAGGCTTATAACTCAAAGAATTTTTATCCACTTTTTGTCTCCCAGATTGGCTCTATAGTCGAGGTGACAGGAAAGGGTCAGCGTGGCACTGTTGCCTACATTGGCGCTACCCTCTTTGCTTCTGGGAAATGGGTGGGTGTCATACTGGATGAGCCGAAAGGCAAGAACGATGGCACCGTGCAGGGCAAACGCTACTTCACCTGTGAGGAAAATCACGGCATATTCGTCAGGCAGTCCCAGGTTAGTGGGCACAAGAGGAACTGATGATGGTGTTATGGCATCAGCACTGAACTGTAAAGATCCAAACAGGCAGATGACATAATAAATGTACAAATGTGGCAGACTGACATCT